TGCTCTCTTTTGAATGTGAAACTCATGACAGTTACTTGTAATTTTCCATTTCTGGCAAAAGGTAGTTTAGACTGTAATCCTAAACACAGTTACTAGGAAGTAAGCCTCTTGGGACACAGGGGAATTTACTTCCAAGTGAACATGCACAATATTGCACTGTTAGTAACCTTAACAGGATATGTTCTTAACTGGATGGTACAGGTCCTTGTTCCTAGCCCTGTTGGAAAATAAGAAAGCCATTCCCATCAGCCGTTTGGTGACATGAAGGGCATAGTGGGTATCTGTGCCTCTGCCCATCCTGAGTAACTAACAGGAATGATTCCAGTTTTCTGATGCTGTCCAATCAAGAGAGAACCACACACCTTGGTAAATATTTGTGCAGACAGCTATTAAAGCAGGTACAGGTAGTTGGAAGACTGTTGCTTCACAATGTGACTTAGTTAGGTATCACCCAATATTTATATTAACCAGCAACTTTTAATCATCCTTGGCCTGTTCACTAGGAAGGATGGAACCTGGCAGGAAATAACTTCCAAGTAAGCCAGCAATCTGCTAATATTTTACCTAGCTATGAAAAACAACGAGTTCCTGGGAGTTGAACATGTTGCAGTGCTTGTTTTTGTCACTGGGTAGATACCCTAGACCTCTGGAATGTGTTATTTTATGTTTTGGGTAAGAAAATTAGAGGAGCAGATTGCTTTACAGAGGAAGAGAGAAAATTGGGACTTGGAAAGGAAGAGGCATAAAATACTGTCTTACTCAACTAAATGTGGACAGGGTATCTATTCATAAATTGCCTACTGCAACACAGGCCACAAGCACAATCAGAGCACAGATTCCTGCATTTATGGTTTCAGGTATTATGTGTTGTTTTGACAGTTTTATTTTTATTTTGCGGGGTTCATAATATTTAAAAATATTGTTAAAGGTTTTGCCCATTGCCCTGAATTTCTTGTAAAAAATTTGAACTGATTTAAAGGTTGATCTGCAAGATCCTATATGATTCTGTGAGTCAGCAGGGCTTTTACTTAATTGCTCTCTGTACAGTCACATACTGGGAACTGTGCATGCTTCAGTCCCTGTCTGGAACTGTAATGAAGCCACAGACAAGAACCACGAGCTATGACATCAGTGGATTTGGCTTATATATTTATGTACTCGGCTTCATTAATTTATTCGTGACACTTACTCATTGCTGTCAACAGGATCCACCCTTTCATTCTTACCAATCCGTCCATGTCTATTTCCTTTTGATGTACCGTACTTTTATTGGGAAAGAAAGCAGATACATATTTTATGAACAAATGAAACTTGCGTGTTTGTTTAAGATTGTGTGCCCAGACCAAGTAAGAGTCAAGCAGTAGGTGCCTGTCCTACATCCATTCATCGCCCTGTGAACTTGTTTCTTCCCAGCGCACACAATGAAGGGCCAAGTGAACTGAGTCCGATCCGGAGCTGCACTTTCAGCCATGCAAGAAAGCACATGTTTTCCTTTGACTTCAGTTCATACAAAATGTCGTTGCTTTAACTGGCTAGTGGCTGCAGTCTATTATTTGCAATATTGAGCAAGTGGGTCAATGTTTCCAGATGTCTTAAAGAGATCTCAACTGCTGCAGTGTAAATTCAGAGTATAAACTGCAGGAAGCTTGGATTTCTTCCAAACAGGCATCAGATGCTCAGCCATGTGGAGCCTCCCACTCACTCAACCATCCCACTCCTCTTTCAACTCATCAGACTTGCTTTTTGAGTGCTTAGGCGGTGTTTGTAGACTGCCTAGTTTCCCCACTAGGCCTCTGAATATTTTATTAATCTTATTTTGGTACAAACTATTTTTTTCTCACATACCTGTGGATGGACACTTTATAGCTCTATGTTAGAAATGTTTTATTTTCAGCACGCCAGCAAGCAACTGCAATATATAACACAGCACACAGGGCACAAAATTGCATGTTATATACATTCACAGCATGTGGTGTCCTGCGTGCTATTGCCCAATAGTTAGATGTCTGGGCATTCACTTTTTAATGCTGTATTGAATTATGTATCACATACATGAATAATTGAATGGCTTTGTTATATTCCTTTTTAATATCTGTGTGGAGAGAGATATAAAAAAAGAAGCTTCCTTCCCTAACAAAGTTTGTCCTGATTTGAGTTACTAAGTTCTAGAAGTGCTGAGATGGGGAGCAATCCCTAATATCTCATACCAGCATGTGTTTATAATGTGTACAGTGGTACCTCAGTTCTCAAACATCTCAGTTGACGAACGTTTCAGAACCCAAACACCGAAAACCCGGAAGTAAATGCTTCCATTTTCAAATGCGCCTCGGAAGTCGAATGGCTTCCGCTGCGTGTTTTTCAATTTTCTCAATTGAATTTGCAAACAGCCCTTTGTGTCTTGGTTTTCAAACATTTTGGAACTCAAATGGTCTTCCGGAACAGATTACGATCGAGAACTGAGGTACCACTGTATCAGCAAATGGGGGAGGGGGGGGCAAAATGATTGTGTGAATGGGCCACTTGTAGGAAAGATACCTCTAAGGCAGGCTTCCTCAAACTCGGCCCTCCAGATGTTTTTGGCCTACAACTCCCAGGATCCCTAGCTAGCAGGACCATTGGTCAGGGATGATGGGAATTGTAGTCTCAAAACATCTGGAGGGCCGAGTTTGAGGAAGCCTGCTCTAAGGTAAATACAGACACACATCCCTCCCCTTGTATGTATGCCTGGGTATCAAGATTGTCCCTAAGCCTTCATGAGTAGGATTTGCTTCTTGAGCCAGACATCTTCCTCCTCATTTGTCATCCTTGCTTAAAGATCCAGTATCTTTAAATGGGCACAGTTCAACTATTCACCTACAAGTAGTAGGCCTGGTTTGCACAGCGCTTTAAATCATAGTTTAACTCAACTGCGGTTTAAATGTGTACGTGCCTGGGTTTGGACATAATGATAAGCCATACCATGGCTTAGCTCATGGCAACACAACAGTAGGAGGAGCATGGGAGAAGCAAATGACCCATTATTTCACTGGCTTGTACCAGAGTGCTGCATGGTCTCATTTAAACCATATTTTAGCTTAACTATGGATTCAAGTTATATCCAAATTACATGAGCCCATTAATTCCATACATGTGTGAATCAGCCGTCAGTCACATTGGTTGTGGTAGAATTCTTACCCATGCAGAAATCCAGTCTGTAATTCAGGCTACACTAAAAGAAAAATATCCACAGCACTGCAAATGAGATAGCAATCTGGCCAGAGAGACTTATTCAAATGTTCAGATTCAGGTTGCTGCTACCGCCAAAGATATTACAGGCCTTGAGCTTGTGTTACCAGGTCTAATGGACAGATAGACACTTTATGTTACTAGAAGCAAATATTACAGGTCCATTGCACTGGAATGTTATATTGGTATGAAGCCTATGTATGGGAGAGAAACTGAAGCAATAAAATCCAGACGTTTGGATGAAGAACTCGAATTCAGGTTTCTGTCCAAATCTTTAATGCATAAATATGAGCAGTACATAGGCAAGGCAGAGGTTAAAGGCACAGAAGGTGAATTACATGGCTACATACAAGCTGAGTCACTGATTCAACAAGCAACACACACCCTGTCTCTTCCTTTTGAAAAGCAGGTTAGGGACACAAACACATGCGCAAAGTGTACAGTGCTGCACAGTGCAAGTTCTGGAGTGCCCAGACACCACAAGCTGCCCTTACCTTAAGGCCTCGAAGTGTGCAAAAAGTTTGTTTCAGGACAGCGTCAAGTTTGGACAGGTGCACAAACCGGACACTCTGGGGTGGGAATAAACAGGGATTAGTGTCAAGTATGGATTGATGTTTGTGTATTTCTTTTCTAATTATGTAACTCCTTTCTTCCATCAGGGAACTCAAGGTGGTACTCATATAGGGGGTTTTGGCTGTCTTTTTCCAGGCACTAACCAGGTCTAAGTGTGTTTCACTTCAGAAAGGAAGCATGCCCTGGGATTTAACTGAAAGATGATTCTTTGACTGTTCTTAGCTACATCAGATACACAAATACAGTTAAAAATAAACAGATATCTATTTGGACGCTGAATCTGTTTTGGTTTTTTTAAGATTTAAGAGGAAAACAGCGCCTTCTTTTACAAAATCTCTGCAAAGATATTGATACCCTTTGGTAAACTGAGCTACATTTGGGTGAATTGGTTTCAAGAATTAGAGGCACAACACAGTGGGAACTTCTAGCCTTCCAGTCGCTTGATTCAACATTACATACCATTCCCAAATCAGAATGAATACTCAGTAAATAGCCAATGTCATATAACCTCCCTGCACCCTTTGTGCAAACAAATCAGGATGAACGATCAATATATACGCCATCTGGAAGTGGCCTCCTTATCAGCAAACTATCATTCACCTGGATCGAATTGCAACAGGCAACCTGCGCATGAAAACTCATTGGTGAATAGGGATCATCTTTTATGGATAGCTCTGGGAATGACCTAGAGATCTGGGTGCTCCACCACTGGCTGCACACCAGTTTTGTCCCATTCTGACCCTGAAAAGGAAGCAGGACAGGCTCAGCTGAATCTGTGGATGTCTGGACTGCAGTGACAGTTTTCCCCACTGGAAAAAAATATTAACAAACATGACTGGATTTAATTTTTTTTGTATGACACAACTGTATGTTTCACAAGAGAGAAAACACTGCATGTGAAAAAGCCATCTAAAGGAACCATTATTAGAGTAACCCTGAGATTATTAATATGGCACTACAGCAGTTACTGTGGACAGCGTAGTTTATATGTGTTTTTAACCATATTTTCCCCATCTACCTATACATCTCATTAGCAGCATTCTGCCAAATAGCTACGCTTACATATCATAAAGTAGTGCCTTCCCCAGCCAGTTTGTTTTCTAGGAATGCTGCTCAATCAAACTTAACAGTATTAAGGCAGCAATTTATTTTAAGCAAATGTGCAGTGCGGGGGAAAGGGGATTGTCAGGAATTCAGCTTCTTTAGTGATTGTACTTATTCCCAAATTTATGGACCACATTAAAAGCTTCCAGAAATTCATTGAAGTCAATGCTACCATCTTTGTTGAAATCAATGCTACGGGCTAAGCTGTCAATGGATTCATCATCCACATTGATTCTCAGATGCAAATTGAAGAGCTTCCATGTCTGACGGAACTCATCAACAGAGATAAGACCTAAAAAGAATTGGAAGGAAGGGGTATGTCACTGAAAGTACTGCACACACACACAAACATGAACACACACATTATCTGTGGGAGATAATTGGAAATGTAAGAAGCCTCTGGACTTGAATTTAGGGCACCTAGGCATCTTATAACAAGCCTTGGCTGCAATTCTTTTGGATAATAAACAGACTACTTCAATTAACTGTTGTGTAGATGTGCCCAAAAATGTTCACATCGCTGTCCAAACCAAATCATTGTACAGGCTAAGACCAGGAAATGGGAGTGTGTGTGTGTGTACTTAGCTATACCAATCTCAATGGTCAGTACAACCATGAACCAGCCCTCAGAGTACAGAACCAACATGGGGACATGAGAAGAAGCAAAACCATAGTCACTTATGGTCTGAAATACTGGAAGAACCACCCACTCCCTGGTTAAATGGTATACCTGCCTCCTATCTAGAGCACAGGTAGGCAAACTAAGGCCCGGGGACTGAATCTGGCCCAATCGCCTTCTCAATCCGGCCCATGGACGGTCCGGAAATCAGCGTATTTTTACATGAGTAAAATGTGTCCTTTAAAATGCTTCTCTGAGTTATTTATGGGGCATAGGAATTCGTTCATTTCTTCCCTTCACAATATAGTCCAGTCCCCCACAAGGTCTGAGGGACAGTGGACTGGCGCCCTGCTGAAAAAGTTTGCTGAACACTGATCTAGAGGGACAAATCAGTACGTTGGTACACAATACCTAGCCAGGGAGGACAACAAATGTCTCTAGTTTTCAGTCGCCTTGTTCCCACACATATCCACTGTTTTTAATACTGATGAAAATCAAGCGGCTTCTACAAATATCCCTCAAATTCCCCCCCATCTATGTTAACTTGAAATGCACCACTTTGAGGAACTGGATTTTAACATACCTGAATGATCTTTGTCAATCATATTAAAGATAATCTCCAGATCAGCTTTGTATCTACACAGGGTTTCCACCAAAAATGGCTGGACCTGAAAAATGTTTTATCAGAAATCAGAATATACCCAATCTATGAAACTATTACACAGCAAACAATTTCATGAGCTGTGCTATTATTATTTTAATGAAAGCATTTGTACATATATCACATCAACTAATGCGTCTATACATCAGTTGTGGGGAGACTTTGGCCCCTCAGAATGTGCTTAATTATAATTCCCATCATCCCTAACCATTGGGCATGTTTGCTGGTGCTCCTGGGAGTTGTAGTTCAGCATGCCCTGGAGGGCCAAAGGTTTCAGGTCTAGGTTCAATATCAGGCAGTGGCGGGGGGGGGGGACCTCCTCATTGCTCACTACCTCTGAGCTGCTAGGAATAGCATCTGGTAATAGTGATGGCCTCTTCACCCCTTACAGAAATACTATATCTTCATTAGTTGAAAATTTGTTGAGTTCCAAAGCCCTGTGGCCTGGTCACTCCCAGTGTAATGAAATAACCAGACAAGACAGCAGGATATAGATTTTGGGTTGATATAGATGAAAATTCATTCTAGAAACACCATTTTTCTAGAAGCATGTATTTTATATGTGCTTGAAAACACCAGCCAATTTTTTCCCCTTACAGAGTTTCACACTCCTGCTTGGTAAGAAACCAGTTGACTAAGAGATACTGCAAACTTTTCTAACACATTTAATATTCAGTAGCTTTAATTTGGCTACCAAAATAAGTATCTCTACCTCTTTTAATCATCCCAGTAAAGTTGCAATGTGCAGTATTGCCTAAACTGGCATTGCAAACTTCACAATGTGCAAACACAAATAAAAATTCACATCTGGATGGGGACCATGCCTTCTACTAGTTTGTTGGGTTTCTTGCATTCTACTAATTTATTTAAATCTAAGGATTGTGAGTCTATTGCCAGTCAATAGAATTTTTGCCATCGACTCCAATAGGCCAGAGTTATGTTTGCCACATCCTAGAAGACAACACTATTACTGGCCACAGTACAGTACAGGTCAGCAGCACATTCATTTTACATAATTACCAATGGCACCCCAAGTCTGCTCGGCCACTTCAGAGGAAAAACAACAAATTCACTGACACCGTACCCTTAAAATGTCTTCTTAGAAGAAAATATCATTGTGTTCAAAGGACCTCACTCCCAGTATAGCAGCTAGCGGATTGCAGCTGGGATGCATTTTTATAAACAAGAAAGGCTTTCAAACAAGATCCCCCCCCCCCAAGAATCTAAATAGAATTAAGTGCTATTACAAGATCTTATTGTAAAACATCTTAACAAGGCTGTGAAGGTCAGCTGTTTCCTAAACTATCTCACCTCTTTGATGGGTAGCTGGATTTCAAAATTGTCAAAAGATGAAAGGTATTCAACTCTACCATCCTGGTCCAGGTAAACCAGCCGTGAACGTAATGTTCTCCAGGGAAGATCGAGACATAAGACAGACTCCACTGCTGAAGCCCACTCACCAGGAGAAATCTTTCCTGTCAAAAATAAACAAACAAAGAGCATTTTATGGTCAAAAGGAAGAAGGTGCATTTCTTATTGAGTCACTACGCTGAGAATAGATTATATGATTGCAGGAGAAGTTCTAGAGTTCTGCACACTGAAATAACAATGTTAAAACTGTTAATTTAAAATAAATTGCAAAACTCAACGGCTTGGATCCTAACAAGGTAATGTACAGAAGGCAATTTTTATGTCCTGGTTCACCACACCATCTCCCTGAGAACCTTCTCTGGAGCCATATGGGTCTTGCTGAACAACATGGAATGGGACATGGGTGGAGAGAAAAGACTGCAAACTCTCCTGCCATGAACATCCTTAACCTACCATCTTTGAATCCCAGCCTAATTTTGGCTGTTCCCGCACATATCCCCATCCCATGTTGCTCCCCACCACTGCCCAGAGAGACTTTCTTGGGATACTTTCCTTTTGTGAAGATCTGCAAGTTAACTTCTTTTAAAAGATGCAAGACAAGAAATGTCTTATCCATCTGAAATGCAAGCTGAGGAATTGCAACAGAATTCATTCCATCTGATATGCCTAGATGAACATGATTTGAGATCAAAGCAATCACTTATTTTAAGGACATCAGATTGGAGCCTGCCAGGGGGGCGGTTCATAATATTATCTATCTTTTTTACATCAGAGATGCATAAGATATTAACGAGAAACTTGCTCACTTCAAAAGATCGCACTGCAAACTGAAAAATTAATTCTCTAATAAAAAAAAATTCTTGCATATGTGTACTGCAAAACACATGTGGGGGGAGGAGCTCTGATGCCTTCAAGAATTGCCACCTCACTCAAGAGGGTAGCTTAATATCCAAATTTTTCTTGTGTACATGAAAGGGTTCCATTCATGTACACAAGCTGAACATCCTGCAGCTCCCAGGATTAGCAGAGTGGATTCTGGATCTGGCTATGATTGTCCATGTAATTAGACTAAATTGCATATAGAGGGCACCAATCCCTCAGCTGATGGACAGACTTTATTTCACTGATGCCATCTGTGCAATTTCCAGTACTTATCTAAAAGATACCGGTCCCAGACATTTTTTCTTTTAAAGATGCTTATCTGGAAACTCCAATCACAATTACAAAACCTCTACTATCAGAGACTACTTCCCTTATTTTCTGGCAGCAGATGTTAAAAGTTGGCTACCTGCTAAGAAAAAGTGTGTAGCCAATCAAAAAAAGTGTGTAGCCTTCAAATATATGTCCAAATGTTTCCCACCGACCTTTTTGAACTCCAGTTTCTCACTTATTAAACCCCATTTGCTATTTTCTTGTCTGATTAGAAACCTTTAGGAGTTGCTTGGGTTTTCATCATAAGGGCTAGGCCAGACACAACCTTCTTCAGATAGCATTACAGGGCGAGGGGGAATAGATGAAGGCAGAAATTGGTGTAAATGAATAGTGTTGGCTTTCAGTGCAGGGGTGGTGGTGTTGAGCATTGTTGGGCTGTACTTCAGGTGGCAGAATGTCTTGGGCAGCATTGTCCATTGTTATACATCCTTTGATGTAACCCACCATTCTCAGCTACCTAATTGTCAGTATTGCTGAAATGCAAATCTTTGGAGGGGCCACTAGGGGCGCATCGGAAGATGGCTGACAATAACATCTCTCCGACCCACACAAGGTAATTAGGAGGCTGTGATGGGAGTAAATAGCCTCCCTACCCCCCCCAAGGTTGTGGGGGGGGGCTGCCCTTGCCTGCTGTGCCCTATACCACCCCCAAATTTGTGGGGATGGGGGCACTAGGCAGAAAGCCCTCCTGTGGATCTCGGCGCTCCTGGACGCTGTCTCTGGTCCGCGCCCCTAGCTGCAGTAACTTCAAAAGAAACAATTAGGAGGAAGCGAAAGCACATATTTCAAGGAAGGAGGGGGAGTAAAGACTGCTAACTGAAGAGATCTCTGATAAACAAGACAGGTTGGAGGAACAAGAATAAATCATGAGAAGATAACCAAGGCTCGGTATGGCAAAGGGACTGGATGGGGGAGGGGGGAAAAAACTTTCCTTTCTTTCCTCTATGTGATTAACCAAGAATCCCCCCCCCCCCAAGTCAGAAATGCCGTTTTAATGACTTAAGCTGTGGATTTATGACTGTGTGGAGATAATTTCCTAACCAAAGCATGTTTCAAGAAGATCGTGGAAAGTATAAGAGCTTTGGAATGACGCAGTTAAAAATACCGTTGCCATGTTGGCAAGTTCTGTCGGAAGACTTAAGTCTGGGAAGAGGAATAGAGCTGTTTTTATATTGTGGGTGAGACTCCTCAGAGGGACTTATGAGCGACAGATTTGTAAGATTAATGATGGAAAGAGCGATGTTATTTATGAAAGCGATGATATATGGAAACCATCTTGATATGAGGATTGGTTGAACGGAAAAATTCACACAGGATTATAATTGGTGTTTATCTGCTTAAGGAGATTATCAGAAGAGATCATAAAGAAAAAAATAAAAAAATATACGAATAAGATGAGATGTGGAAACAGCAATATAAGACTGGATAGAATTATGAACATTATTTGGACTGATTTGGATATTAACGCAGTAGCAAGAAGATGATCGGAATCCCCTTTCGGAACTTGAAATATGGGTCCCCTCAACAAAAATTTTAAATTTGGCTTTGTAATTCGGAATTTATGTGATGTGATTTTATTTGATTTGATTGGTTGGTTAATAAAAATTATTTTTTAAAAAAAGAAATGCAAATCTTTGGGGGGGGGCTGCCACTTTTGTCCTTCTCTTACAAACTCTATGCATCTGCTTCCAACCTCTGCTTTCTGTTGATTTGCCTTCTATTTCCCACTGATCCATCATAAATACAGTCATTTACATTACATTGAAATGGAGCAACTGCGAAGTGCTGCTTTCAAATTGTGTTACCTGTATAATTTGGATCGTACTGTCTAAAAGCAGCAATCAGTTCCGATTTGTGTGTGTAAAGTTTCTCTCGCAAGCACCTCAAAGCAGATAGCTCAATTGCAGTCACCCTACAAGGGAAGAAAGTGATTAGAATGAACAGTTAAAGAATCAAAAAATCTCTCCTGAGCTGTTTAACAGCAACTCAGCATTTACTAACTTCCTCTGTCAACTTTCTTTACTTTGGAAGAGTAGCTCCCAAACCATGAACTACTTTAAAACTGCTGAGGGTCTTGGCAGACCATTTAATGATTTTTCTGCCCATTGTATAAATTGCAATTCCATAGAATTCAGACTGTAATGCAACATAAAAATAAAAGAAGCATTAACAATACAGTTAAAAATAAATTTGACTATTTAATATCATGGATGTGCTGTCTCCCATCTTCAACCACAAATCCACACCAGCTGCCATGAATGAAGCTCAGTGACCACTGGTGGTGGGCCAGAGCATTGGGGACAGTTTTGCATTTTCAGTTCTGTTCATAAATCTTTAAAAACTAATATGTGTGTTCTCCTTATCCTACCTCTGATGAAGAGTCTCTTTGCGTGTAGATTTGCTGACTTGATACTGAACAAAACGAGGGATCAGATCTGGGTTTAGTTTGATGTAAGCACCGCGATTACTTCCCTCTGCATAGTAGTTTGAAGCAGAAAAAATAGTGATAACCTGGTTTTTTAAAAGGAAACAAAAATGCAATTTAAGTAATGAGGATTTCAAGCTTGATCTGGCAAGATTTTAAACAAGTTGTAGACTGAACGAAGCAATATGTGTTAAGTATGACAAAGGCTAATATTGTGAATGAAAGCACCCTTTCCATGGCTGATACTAGGAAACTGAAATGTTCTTTGTATTCGAGATTACATCCAGGGTCATGAGTCTCTTTGTGCAACAGCCTTTAACAAAACAAAACAAAACCTTAATTCAAGTACTGGGCACATTGTCTTTCTCTAGGACACTGGAGAAAACAGTCCAGCAGAAACTCTCAAGAGTCTCCTCCAGCACCATAATTCAAAAGCATCAATTCTTCAGCGATCAGCCTTCTTTATATTCCAAGTACTTTATTTATTTATTTATACATACAGATATTCATATACCACTATATCATAAAAAATATCAAAGAGGTTGACAGTAAGATCTATATATAATAAAAATTCAAATCAGATTATTATCAGCTATTTTGGAAAGATGCATACTGTATTGCCTGCATAAGCCTAGTGGGATAGGAAAGTTCTCAGCTTGCATTTAAAGGCTGAAACACCTGTTGAAGCTCTACTGGCCGAGTAGTGCACAAGGCTGGGCCAATGACACTGAAGAGTCTATTATTTTGTGTTGATGCCAAATGAGCCTCACCAACTCACGGGACAACCAATGACACTCCTGTAGATGATCTCCCAAGCCATTTAATGAAGTATGGATTGGTGCCCATGATTGAGCCATGAAATGGCTCAGTGGAAAATAAGGAGGGAGCGGTGAAGACAAAAATTAGGCGTGGCTGGCAACTCTCAGCACCCTTAAACTACAGTTCCCAGGATTATTTATGTGGAAGTCAAAGTGGTATAAGACTGCCTTCAATGTATACTGCAAATGGGGCCTAGTAGATGACAAAGACTCTGTGCTGATCACAAGTACCACACAAATATGGTTAGTGACTTGTATCTGGCAGACAGAAGCTCCTGCCTTACTCAGAAAAGCCGAGAGACTTACAATAAATGAAGCTGTGAAGACTCTGAAATTTAATCTGTAAATTTCTGGTTACCTTTCCATTATGACTGATCTCATACCCATCCTGCTTGCATTCGTGAGACCGGATGAGCATTTTCAAATTATAACGTCTTAGCAACCTGGCAGTAACATCTGGTCCGAAGTAACAACCTCCTCCTCGAAATTTGTTTGGTGTGCATCCATTCTGATGTTTCGGGTCACTCCAGAGAATATCCACCACCTTTCAATAGCAATTAAACAAAATGCTAGTGACCATCCATCGCTGGAGTAAGGTAAATAATAAAAAGCAGAGTTTGGCGGGTATCTACAAGGTCATCCCATCACAGCATGTAATGGGACTCCCTCCCTGTCCTCTCCCTATACTCTCCCTAAATCTACTCCAGAGGCTTGGGGGAACTCCTAAGACTGGAAAGTCACATTGCCCTATTGGAAACCCTTGTTGTGACAGCACTATGTTGAATAAAACCCTTAGAAAGAAATATGAATCATCGGGATGTGAGGATCCTAACTGGGTTTAGTTCAAAACAATATAATTTTATTGTACTAGTGGTGGTAAAACCTTATGACACTGAATAGGTAAGTTGGTATGGTGGCACAGAATGTTGGCTCACATAAGGAATGTTTGCAGTTCAGTGTCTCTGAGGGAAAGGAAAAGATATCTGTTTGGCTGCAGTTAAACTTTACAAAGTCTTTGGATTTGGGGGAGGTTGCCTGAGGGGGGCATCAAGACAAACCTGTTTGCTAAGCATATGTCCTAATTTGTTCATAGGAAGATTAGACAACACTGGAAATTCAATAAACATTCGTTCTAGTTTGTATGTGGGGAGATTAGATGACCTTACATCAAAACAAGGGCCTTTCCCACTACAGTATTTTCCTTATTGCAAAAATTCTGATCTCTTGGGGAAGGCAGTTTGTTGTGCAGCCTGAATTTGCCAACATGTGACTGGATCTCAACAGTGATGGTCAGGAAGTGCCTTGGTATCTGAGAAGGGATTCCAGGTGGCAAGGAAACTAAAGTGCAAGGAGCCCTGAGGCAAGGGAGCTAAAGGAAGTATTCAAAAAGGCAAAGGTAGATGAAAGAGGATTGAGGGTGAGGGCCGGGGGAATACTAAACTCAGACTGTGTTTTATATAAGGGGTGTTCAAACAATCACCCCTCACATGATGAGAGAGGGGGAGCACACCTATAGAGTATACCATTGGAGAACCCATTCTGTGAAGGAACTCGGACCCTTATACCCTTTTGATTCAGCCCAACATCATCCTCAAAGCATGAATGGGTGTTCATTTAAGCGCTCACATACTGACTTGACAAACCAGCCATTTTGTTTTGTCTGCAAGCTTCTAGCAACTATAATTTGATATTAAAGTAATTAGCATGCCCATTACATTATCTCAAAAGCTTGTTTCCGAGTTGGTTTGTTTTTAAAATTATTTCTCAAATGTTAACATTTTAATAGCCAATATTTGTGGAGGAGGGGAAAGACTCTTATATACAGCTTTGGCATACTTGCTTCCACTCCTTTGTTGTTAATTCTGAGGATGTGTGCGGTGTGGTAACACTGCCAGGCTTAAGATATTGCACCTCTGGAAGAAGGCTAGAACTGCCTCTGCCAGGGAGGTTGCCAAGATGCTCTTTGCCATCAGACACATCCCTACTGTATCGCCTTCTCTTGCTAGGTGCTGATGTGGACCTCGTGGCCTCTTTGAGAGAGATGTCCTGCCCGGAAAGGGACTTCGTGGCCTCCGTCCGGTGGGAACAGGTTTCTACAAGGCTAGCTCCACGTGGCTTACAGACTGTCTCTGCATTTGACTTCACTGGCCTCAGCACAGACTTCAGCTAAAAAGACAAAATGAATGATCACCTTTTATTGGTCTAGATCAGCACAGGCATATTGCTGAATTCTGAGCATGAAAGTGAAAATATAGTAGCTGATCTATCAGGTATAGGTGAGAAGCAATTCATAAACAAGTGTTGACCACAATGGAGATCTGCACAAAAGTAAATTACTGTACCTTAGCCCTGAAAGTGTGTTATCTTTAATGAACTTTGGCCAATGGTCAAGGAGTGGAGCAGCTCACCTGGTGAGGCAGCAATAGTCTCCTGGCAGGGGCACCACTCCCAGTTACTGGAAGGAGGGAAGCAGCAGTGAGACCAGGGTTGCAGGGACAACGATATGAGCACTGGATTTTCTCTGCTGATGCAGCCCAGACCTTCTCTTCACCTTGCCCCTTTTCCGCACCTCCCCAGTAAGTGATAGCAATCTCATTGCTGGGAGGCTATTGCTGCAGCACTGCTTCTCCCCCCAGGCAGTGCCAGTCCTTGGGGCTTCAGAGGTGAAGCACCACTGCCCTCCCAGCTTCCAAATACATTATGTTGCTGGTGTGTACTGGAAGGAGAGGGATAAGGTATGGAGAACTAGGTGCTGTGCAGTGCAGCATGATGGAGCCAAACCACAGCTCTTGCCATTATGTGCCTGGACTAAAAATCACGATTAACCCCTTAAAATATTGTTAAGGTGACTATTAGCCTTAAGGTATGGTCTAGAGAAAGTATGTACTAGGGCCACATAATGCAACAAACTAAGGCATTTTTTAAAAAATCCGTTGTGTGTTGCTAGTTTACTCCTTTAAATTTTCAAAATGCTAATGGCATGTTTACGTAAAAGAGTTAAGATACACAAGGTTAATTCTCATTGATTTCAATAGCATTTGTGTGTTGGTGAGATGGATTGGAGCCAAAAAGAGCAGAACTAAAGAAAAAGAGTGTCTTGCGAGTTTAACACCTTACCTTGTTTCTCTGAAATAAATTAAGGAAATTCAAATCAGTAGTGTCCGATATCCCTCCGTGTAAAATAAGAACTTTGCTGTCAATTATAGTTGCAAGAGGAAGCCAGCTATAGACATCTTCCAGAAGATGTAAAATTGCTGTTCCATAGCACTATGAAGTGAAAATAAAGGTAACAATCAGAAGGTCCCTGAAATAATAGCAAATTGATGTGCTTCGTGGGTGGTTTCTCAAAGCCATAAAATAATGAAGTGAAAACTATTTGTAAATCTATGTATGCTTGCCCCATCTCCGAGTCTGATGGTGTTTCCTGCTTGGCAGGGGGTTGGACTCGATGGCCCTTGTGGTCTCTTCCAACTCTATGATTCTATTCTATGAGTCGCCTTGGCCCGCCCCCCAGGTACCCAAGCGGCTAGCTACACCGCTGAGCACATGGGGAAAAATAAAGGGGTTCTTGTGAGTAGGGATGAATGAATCTACCACTTTTGGTTTCTCTCTATTTCTGACTTTTCCATTCTTAAGCTCAATACTCCACATTTCCACATTCATTTTTTTAAGTGCTCATGAAAATTCATCATTTTAGTGCAATTTTTTACACATTTGTATGCAATTTTGCATAATATACATATTTTACTTGATATACAAATTTCCCTGTTTTAAGGCACTTTTGCATGTTATATTCACTAATATATGCATGTACACACACACACACACACACACACACACACTTTACACTAGTATATGCATTTTTGTACACATTACTTGGCTGGACAACTGTATAGCAAAAGTCAAGAACATTTGAATTTTGAAGGATCGCTGAGTTTCAGTTCACATATCGTTTCAGAAAATGTAAATTGGGTAAGTTCACCATTAAATGCAAACTGAATTCAGTTTACTCCCCATACTTACTCATGGGTAACGCTTAAAACATCTTTGAGTTCAATATTCTTTACAGAACTAAGGTCCATAAAATTAGGTTAGGGCTTTGAAATGCAAGGAATGCAGTCTGTATCACTTAGCTAAAAGATGAGGTTGCTAACCTGATGCCACTACCAAAAGACAGCCAAATATTTACCTGGTACTTCTTCATAACTTCTTTTGTGAAACCATATCTGAAACAAGTTAAAGGTCATTTCAATAGTGGATCGCACTCTCTATGTACCTATATGTAAGAGATAATTCTTTCTTCTATATTATAGGTTTATAACAGAGGGGAGATCCATTACCAGAGTATAGCAAGACAACAGAAATCAGATTTGAATTGTAGGATATTTCTGTTGCATATTTCTGTATCTGCACCCCAGATACAGATTTCCCACTTATTTTATCAGTATGCATCAAGGAACTTTTCCATACTCTGGTACAGTTTTTGTCCAGTGCATGGTCTGAAATAGGGGTGAGCAGATTTCAGGCTTGTGGGATCTACTTTCAGCAGTATAAGACAGAGCCAGGGATGTGGTGGGCGGATTAATTTTGTTGTTGCCATAGTAAATTAACTTAGAGTCCTTGCTGAAATGCTACAGAGATCTACCATTATGTTCCAAACTCCTTCCTTCCCACCTCTTATCTAAAGCAAAAGAAATAAAAAATAAGGTTTTCTTTTCCAGTATTTCTGTATATTGAAATGCTGAACCATAAAATAACACAATGCTTCTGCCTTAACTTAAAGATAATGCTGCCACAACCTTCAGATGCCAAGACCATTTCTAAAGAGTAAACGGAGTCCAAATTCTAACCGAAATGCACAATAATTTGATTCTTACTTTCCTTTATACTAAGCTACAGTATCATGTGTAGAGGGAGCTCATAGACAGTATCTACTGATCTGAAATCTGAGCAAAAATTACAAGTGCATCTCTCAGTTATCAGATCAACTGTTTCAACTGGAGGCTTTGGGAAGACAACATATGTAGATTAGGCGAATGAAAGATAATATATCTAGCTAGCTAGCTGAACAATGGCGATACCTAAGATTCATGATATGGTCCTCATGGTTTCCTCGGTTCAAGTGCAAGTGGTTAGGGTAGACGAGTAGAAAGGCAAACAGGATTATGAGTATTTCTATGGAATTTTTCCCTCTGTCCACAAAATCCCCATTAAAAATGTAGGGGTTTTCCTCTGAAGGAAGTCCATTCTGTAGAAGAAGAAAAATGACAACAACATGTGCAAGTACAACAGATATTAATTATCGCAAAACAAGAGTCGGCCGGTCAACAGGGCAATGCAGAGCTGTAGGTGGCCTCACCTCCTCACTGATGCCAACATCTCTTTTGTAGTACTGCCATATCACATTAGTAGCTGCACCTGTGCCCAGGTGAGCATCAGGTCCTTGGTGACAGACGGAGGACACCAGGGATGGTTTTACTTATGTTCACCTTGAGCTGCCATGTCCGCACAGTTCATAAAACTATTCATTTTATATTACTTTTATATGAACCATTTAGGAATTCTTTTTTATGCTTGTCCTAACCAATTGTGGAAAACAATGGTTAGATGTGCATCTACCCTATGACCAAGGAGTTCAAGTCAGCATACGTTCTTCTTCCCTGTGTCCCCCAATTTTATCATCACAAGATCCATAGGAGGTAAGTTAAGCTAAGAGGGTGAATGGCTGGTACACGGTCGTCCACCCAGTGAGCTGTGCAGCTGTGTGGGCATTTAAACCCTGGTCCAATACTCTAACCAAGCAGTGATGAACCTTTTTGGGTTATACCTCCAGGGCCTGTAGGCCCATGGGTGGTCTGACAAAAAGTGTATGTAGCCACCCCACACACTCCTGCACACACACACAGTCATCAACACACATACAGGGGAGCCTCCCTTCCTCAGCTGATCTGATTTTTCTCCCCCACTCTTAAAGTAATCGATCTGATGGCTGGGGAGGGAAGGATTTTGTGTCCACATTTTTTGTGGGAGGGAGGATGTTCTCCTGCTGCCAAAATTAGTAGGAGAAGCTGGAAACATTTGCTTTGCAGGGGGGCGGGTTACATCTCTCAGGCCCCTGGGCTTGGACGTAGCCACCCTGCTCAAACCACTACACCGCAATGGTTCTTTGGGCTCCTCTTCCAATCTCCCATAATGATCATAGACAAATCTGAGGCTGAAAGGAAGGGAATGTTGATGAAGCTGAGCCCTAGTCATGCAACGTATCTAACTCTGTTCCAATTGCTCTGCCCCCTGCCTAGACGTCATATATATCATAAGCCGCCCAGAAGTCCAAGGAGGAGCAGTAGAATGAAATTTTGTCGAATGAATCTTAGCAGGTTCTCAAAATGCCTGCAATCAACGTTTATGGAACCTGAAAAGCTTTTTTTTTTTGCAGCGCCAGCTCTTAATACACCTTTACATTTGACATTGCACTTACATTTCAAATGCGAAAATCCAATTTACTTCAAAATACAATATATTATGCAGCATGCTTGCTTCCCCTTGCTTTCCTCGAACACTTCCCTGGCTTTTGCTAATGCCCTTTTCGAGGCTGGGGATGAAATGAAAATCCATAGCAGCAGGCAACAAGAGTGAAGACAGCTTTCCAATGGTGAGTGGAATAGGGGGTTGCTGCTGCCACTGCCTCATTAGAGTGCCTTCTGGGTTTGCGCTTAATTAGCTCCCTTTGTCAATCTGCCTTTTAATTCCGCTCCAAGATGTCTATATGCATAGAATCAATTTAACACAGGCTAATTTAGCAACTGGCAATTTAAAATATTACGGGTTTGGGGTTCTTTTTTGAGGAACATGATGGGAAACGGCATCATTTAACAATGATTAGTGCAGTGAATGGAAGTGTCTCCAAACTGCCTACTTTAATTAAGCCAAGGTGTTATTCTTAAGAGAAGCCATTAAAAAGCATTAAAGGCATGTTATCTAGTTTAACTGGCTTCAGACAATGTTAGGGTCATCACTTACGGCCTTTAGCTGTTTCCCACCCACCCTTCCCCATCCCCTCCAAAGGCTTGTACATGGTGCAATTTGAGGAAGCAAAATGAAAGAAATACAAGCCACACTGTAATCTGAATCTGGGACTATAAACTTTAGTGGGGAGTCCATCAATGCACCATGCTTAGAGGGCAGTAGCAATATGATACATATGTTATTATCAGAGAGTTAGGGGAAGTTGTCTTCCCTGAAAGCTCCCAATGGAGATCATGCTACACAGCATGGATAAGGTTAAGCTTCTGTCCCTCATGGACAGTTTGAACAACAGATCACCTGAGGCTTTGGGAGATTCCCACCTCCCCCCTTTGTTTATACTTCACAAAAATCGCAAGGAGTATCGTCGTTGAGGTTTGATACCCTCCAGTCCCCTGCAGATTTTGCCCTTCAGTCGACATTCAGTCCTGATTAACTGAGTGTGGAGAACGGAAAGATGGCCATAGGCCAAAAATTGATACCACAAAGTGCTGGTGATCTCTCTCTCTATATATATACACAGTTGCTAACGGAATCTAGTAGCGTTGAGGCACCATTAGGAAACAGCAAAGCCAAATTTACTTACTTTGTAGAAAATCAGCAAAAGGTCATCCAGCTTTCCATGAAGATCGCCTAGAAAGAACACAAACGTTCACAGTCGGGCCATGGGACCACCAATCGGGCAGGTAGAATACGCAAGACTGGAAGCAAACAGTGATTATTGTTTCCTAGAGCTCATGCGTGTTTAGAAGTGTTGTAAAGCAATGGTATGAAGCATTAACTGCATGGTGGTCAACTCCTGAATCCAATTCATCGGGGAGCACTTTGCATTCCCTGTGGACCAGCTGCTTACAGTAGACATTTTGTGAAACTATGCACACATATGTATGAAACCATAATATGAAACACAGCAGGTGCAACTGCTTAACTGCCCACCCACTACCCAAAAGCATTGGGAAGCTGTGTTGGAAGCAACAGGGAATGTATGAGGAAGCAGCCGAGGCTTAATGGTCCCTCTCAAACTGCTATTTGAAGAACAAGATTACAGTGGTACCCTGGGTTATATACACTTGAGGTTACACACTCCACTAACCCAGAAATAGTGCTTCAGGTTAAGAACTTTGCTTCAGGATAAGAATAGAAATTGGGCTCCGGCGGCACGTTGGCAGCAGGAGGCCCCATTAGCTAAAGTGATGCTTCAGGTTAAGAACAGTTTCAGGTTAAGAACCGACATCCGGAACAAATTAAGTACTTAACCCGAGGTACCACTGTATAAAATCCTTTTCACCCTGAGGGCTACATTCCTTGGTGGGCAACCTTTCAAGTGCCACATGGAAATGGTGGTCAGGGTCAGAGGCAAAAATGAGGAGAACAACAAATGTAATTTTAAAAATTTTTGTTTAGTATACTAGTTAACACTCACATTTGAGTTGTTGGTGACGATGCAAGTGAATCCTAAACACTACACTGCTCTTTTCTAGGCAAATATGACCAGGGTGAGAAAGCTCTCAAGAGGGAGGGGGTGTTACCATAAAGCACCAATGCTGCAGCAAGCAAAGGCTCTAGCAGCTCAGCCAGCTGCTTGTGGCTGGAAAGCCAGACAGGATGTTTGTGACTGTTGCCATGGGAACAAAGGGGCAGTCCATTCTGTACTGAGCACCGGATGTTAGCTCAGTGTGTGTGTGTCATATGACCCGTACTGGATGTACTTGGGAGGAGTTTCTTCTTGCTGTTGTTGAGTGCAGACATGATTCTCTGTACTGATGTAAGAGGCAGAAATAAATGATGTAAATAGTTTTCTGTCTGCTTCTTCCCCTCCCTGGGGACACCAAAGGGGAGAGAGGAAGAACGGTGTGTTCCTCTCATACATCTGAGAAGAATCGCTGGACCTCGCCTGCTTATCAGCAGAGTGGAGACGCGGGGAGGTCGACAGGAATATCTGCCGGTGCCTACGCTGTGGCACATTCCTCTGACCCAGGCAGAATTCCAACAGTGGTAGCAGAGGATGGTTGCGATTCATCGGACATCTGCATGAGAGGCTGGTGGATTGTCCTCCACTGCTCCTAAGGAGGAATAGAAGCGTCTGAAAGAAGCCAGAGGCTCCACAGACAGCTGATGGAAAGAAGAGGTGTTTTCCAGAGCAACAAAGTTCAAGGTATGCTGCATTTCGGGCTAAAAGTGTGAACGCAGGAAGATTAATTCCTGGTTCACGGAGCTGCGTTTCAAAGAAAACAAAAGCTCCGAGAGGAAGAGGCCTGCAGCTTGAAGGCTGAAGCCTGCATTCCACAAATTTTTGTGGTAGATAAGGAGTCCCATTGAAATGCATTGTTGCTAGGCAACGGTCCTGGAAAGTTACTGGCAAGGGGCTGGACTCTGAGTGTAAGCCTGGGAAAGCGAAACAAAACCAGAGAATGTTTTGGCTACAAGGTTTACGAGCTCTTGGAAGGGACTTTTCAATAGCAGCCTGCGTTTAGCTGCCAGGTGCAAAGAGCGTAAACAATTTGCAGTTTGCTGCGTGAGAAAAGAAAAAAACAACTGTTGGATTTTACAGTTTGTTTGACATTGTGAGCTGGAGGCTTGGCTTCAAGATGGATGCCAAGAAAGGGGGAGGTTTGCCTTGCCCACCTCCCTTAACCAATGACAATTATTCATCTTGGTCTGTAAAGATGAAGGCCCTGCTGCAGAATCAGAGGCTTTTTGATGTAATTGAAAACCCCATCCCTGCAGCACCAACCAGAGGTTGGGAGTCACAGAATGTAAGGGCCAGGACTGCTATAATTCTGTGTGTCTCAGATGATCAGTTGGTGCATGTTCAGCATTTAGAAAATGCGAAAGAGGTATGGGACACGCTGCGTACAACGCATCAGAGAGATGCTGGTTCTTCAGCGTTGCTGTATTTTGAGAAATTGACCAATCTGAGACTTGCGCCTGATGGAGATGTTCAAGCGCACCTGACAGAAATGAAGTTTCTGCGTCAACAGATGGTGGAACGCAATTTCCGTCTTCAGGAGGAAGTGTTTTGCTTCATGATGATAAACAGCCTTAGCCGCACCTACAAGGTTGTTGCCAGTCAGCTTGGTTCCCTACCGGCCGCGCAGCTGACCGCGGAGAGAGTTTGTGCTGTGGTCCTGAATGAACACGACAGACTTGCTGCACTGGAAGAAAAAGACAGGGGGAGGGAAGAACAGAGTTCTAATTCCCCCACTGCTGATGCTACTGGAGAGCATGGTGTAGCATTGAGTGCTGTCCGATGCTACAATTGTGGACAGACTGGGCATCTACAGCGAAACTGTAAGAAGCCGCGCCAGTCAAGAGGAGCAAAGAGCAGCTCTACGAAGCCTCAGGCGTCAGGCAAAAGCCGTACCAAGTGCCAGGTGAAACCTGCAAAGGCTATGATGGCGAAAGGAACCACGCCAGATGTTGGGAACTCGTTCATAATTGACACGGGCGCAACGGTTCACATGTGCCCGCACAGAGGACTATTTTCGACGTTGAAGAAGCAAAGCTTCACTGTGAAACAGGCCAACGGTCAGGAGTTGGAAGCAACTGGAATTGGGACTGTGTATCTTGAGAGTCTGAACTTGACTATAAGTGATGTTTACCTGGTTCCAGAACTGAGATTTAATCTGCTGAGCGTGTCGCAGATTGCAAAGAAAGGACTGAAACTGTCCTATGATGCTAAAAGCTGCAAGATCTACAAAGATGGAGAACTGTTTCTTACTGCCAAAGAGAAAGATGGACTGTATTTGTTGACTTTTGATCAAAGTGATTACATGAAATGTAATTCTGCTGTTTCTAACGAAATCTCTCTTGCAGGAGTGACCAGTGTGAGCACCAGGAAGGTGACTAAGACGAAGAAGGTCAACAGAGCATTTCAGCGGGTGTATGCTGATGTGATTGGTCCTCTAGAACCATCTAGAGGCGGTGCACGATTTTACCTTTTGTGTGTGGATTGTTTCACTAATTATTCTTGGGTTTATATGATGGAGAAACCGCAAGAAACTTTAGAAAAGTTTCAGGAGTTTTGTGACAAGGTTAAAAGTATGCATGATGCTAACATTGATTGTCTTTTCACAGATGAGAAGCAAATTTTTCTGTTGCAGAAGTTTCAGAAGTTCCTGGATGGAAAAGGGATAGACCACAAAGTTGCAGTCTCGCAAGAAGCGTGGAACAGGGGGGTCTGTGTGAGAGTGAACAAAGAATTGCAAAAGGGGATGAATGCGCAATTGCTGAGTTCACATTTGCCACATGAATATTGGGCCGAATCGCTAGCGTCCTATCTTCATGTGTGGTTGAGAAAGGTCTCAACAGAGTTGGGATGTTCTCCTTTGAGAAGCTGTTCAATAGAAAACCTTCTGTTGCCTATTTTAAGGTTTTCGGGTCTCATGTGAGAACAGAAGCTCCAGGTGGAGTAAAGAATGCCAGAGGCATTTTTGTAGGTTATGAAAAAGGTCTCTACAGAGTAATTTTGTCTGAATCTGGTCAGGTGATTCTCACAAAGTTCCTAGAGAGTGCTCCAAAGCAAGAGCGGATAATACAGACATTTCCCACAGGAAACGATTCTGATGATAATGATGATGATGAGTTTGATCTTATTGAGTTCAGTAGTACTGATGATGACAGCGATAGCTCAGACAGCTCAGTTGTCACAGTCATTGAGAGGAAATCTCACATAATGACTAGACCTTCACAGGTGAAGGAAGAACCACTGATTGCTACTGGTTCTCAACAGAGTCCAAAGGTTGAACCAGTGAGCACAGAAGATCAGAACCTCATACGCAGGTCTGAGAGAGTTACAAAGGGTGTACCACCAAAGAGGTACTCAAAAGAGTTTGCTAACTTAGCTGTTGCATGTGTTGCTATTGTTAACAACTCAAAGCAGGTTGAAGCAGTGTCTACGTCAGAGACAAAGACACAACAGAGGGTAGCTAGCCAAGGTAATGCAGAAGCACTCATTCCTTGGAAGCCAGACAACCAGAGAGGTACATTGGTTAAACCAGTGGCGGGTAGTTCCAAGGGTGGAACTGACACAACAGGGGAATGTTATAAATATAACAACTGTTTGTTTTCTTCTCTGGATGACGCTTTGCTCGCGGCACACATTGATACTTTAGGGGGAGTATGTTACCATAAAGCACCAATGCTGCAGCAAGCAAAGGCTCTAGCAGCTCAGCCAGCTGCTTGTGGCTGGAAAGCCAGACAGGATGTTTGTGACTGTTGCCATGGGAACAAAGGGGCAGTCCATTCTGTACTGAGCACCGGATGTTAGCTCAGTGTGTGTGTGTCATATGACCCGTACTGGATGTACTTGGGAGGAGTTTCGTCTTGCTGTTGTTGAGTGCAGACATGATTCTCTGTACTGATGTAAGAGGCAGAAATAAATGATGTAAATAGTTTTCTGTCTGCTTCTTTCCCCTCCCTGGGGACACCAAAGGGGAGAGAGGAAGAACGGTGTGTTCCTCTCATACATCTGAGAAGAATCGCCGGACCTCGCCTGCTTATCAGCAGAGTGGAGACGCGGGGAGGTCGACAGGAATATCTGCCGGTGCCTACGCTGTGGCACATTCCTCTGACCCAGGCAGAATTCCAACAGGGGGGTCATATTGAAAATGGAAAGGAGTCTTAAAGGAATTTAAAATGGGAAGAAGCTATTTTAGGACTTTAAAATAGAAAGGGGGGGGGGACATTAGCTTCGTGATATGGAACATATTAAGCCCTTTAAGACCAAACCCAACAAATATTACTATGAAATAATAAATTGGATTTGGATTTAGTGGGGTTTAAATGACGCTCATTAAAGGAACTCTCACATATGCAACACATGAACCAGATGAATATTTAATGCCTGTTTCAATGTAGAAAGTTAAAAAGGATTTGACGGAAGTGACATAGATCTTGTTTTGTGGCAATCAACATTTTGGCTCAAACTTCAGTAAAAAAATACACTTTCATCTGTCATTAAGGATGTTTTGAGCATGAAGACTATTATTTGCTTGAAGGACACATCAAAAAATCTCTCAGATGCTCTTTCAATTGTGCAAATGAGGACACCCATTGGAGGATGTATGTACATTGATTATCAAGGCCACACATACACACACATACGTGTGCGTGTGTAGAAGTCTAAGGATATTTTGTTCTTGCTTACTAAAGCTCATTCAATGGTATAAACCTGTAAATAAAAGATATCTTATCTATTACTGCATTGAATGCTTGAAGCATCTTTTATTAAAATTTGGTTTCTCTCTGCACCTGCAGCAGTATAATTAATTTATTTTGTGTGCGCGTCTTCTCTTGATTTGAAGAGAGAGACTAATTATTACTAGTAACCATTTAGTGCTGTCTTGCAAGTGGGTCTCCTCAAGCAAATCCAGGAAGTCCAATCCCATCCATTCACCCATGTATGGCAGTGTAATCAAGGCCAGATGACTGAGAGGCACTTAGATGTTGCCATCTTTAGCTGACTCTTTATGCAGTTGGCCAATTGGTGATCCATGGCCACAAAGCAATTTTATTTGGGCTCCAAATGGATCCCCAAAGCTCAGGACAAAACATTTTGCCTCCAGTTTCACTCTGTGGTTTTTCTTCTTAAGAAAAGGAAGATTGCTTATAATACATATACCCATATATAAGACAACCACATATGAATTTGTAGTTGTTTGCATATATTAGTGATACATACTTTACTTTCTCTTTTTATGCACTTTTTCTTTTTCTTTTCTTTTGTTCAACTGAAATACTTTCAATCAAACACTAAAATAAAAAAGAAGACTGCTTTCTGAATTTCTGCATGAGAGAAAGAACATGCACTTTAATGTTCGGCCTCTCTCTCTCTGTCTCTCTAAATATACACCCCCTCAGAACAAAGACTGCATAACATTTCCCCACTGAGACATCCATATATGGGGGGGGGGGAGAGAGAGAGAGGGAGAGAGAGAGAGAGAGAGAGAATGCATCATTGGTTTGCTCATTTTCATCACAGTGTGGATATGTGTGTGTGTGTCCCCAGAAGAAGTATCAATGAACTGGGATTTTCTTCTATCATGATCATGTTCACGAACCGTTTGTTGAAGCACTTGCGGGAAGGCAAGAGGTGAAAGAAATTATTTACCACACAAAGTAGCATTTTACAGATGGAAAAGCAGCTCTTTTCTTAAAAGTTTGCCAGATTTAGTCACTGACTCACCCAGCAACATCTGACAGGGGGAAAAAGTGGGAGGAAGTGTTCGGCTTACTTTAAAAATGCCAGGCGATGAGTCATCAGCCTTCCACCCCCCCACCCCCAATAATAAAGGGAAGACAGGAAGGATTTGTACTGCGAGGGGGTTGGGGAAGTGTAACATTCCAATGGCAGCTATAAAGACCACTTACCACTGGCTGGTGGGGAGTGGGAGTTGTGGTCTGGCCTGGCCAAGGTGGGTTAAGGTGGCCTGGCCAAGGTGGGTTAAGGCGTAGCTGGGGGAGGGGTTCATTTCTGTCCGGATGCACAGACAGGGGCTGATGGGCCATAGCACCCTCAAAATGGTGGTTGCAGGGAGGGAGTTCACCCCAATTTGATGAATGCCATAGGGCGACCCTTAACCTTGGTTATCCCTGCCAAAAATCAACCAGTAGGCAGGCTGGTTGAGTCAGGATACACATCCAATGCCTACGCCCAAACCTGCTGACACCTGTAATCAATAAAGCTGTGGCCTGCTTAAATCTCCTTTTGGTTGTCCTGTGTTTATTGCACCTACATATTGCCTTGGCCCTACAGCGTCTGGGCCTGCAACCACAAATGCTAGACAGTCCTACAGATTCACAATATACTTTAGATATCAACCCGGTGCCACATTTCTCTTAAGGAGAACTCACCACAGATGGTTATTTCCTTGGTATAAGAGGTGGAGAGGTGTGTGATGTTTGGCATCTGCTGAAGGACCTTCCTGGTCTCATGTAGCAGCTGAAGAACATATCGGGCGTGGAGGTGCTGTACGGAGTCATGCAAGAAGAAGAAGAAGAAGAAGGAGAAGGAGAAGGAGAAGAGGAAGAAGAGTTTGGATTTGATATCCCGCTTTATCACTACCCGAAGGAGTCTCAAAGCGGCTAACATTCTCCTTTCCCTTCCTCCCCCACAACAAACACTCTGTGAAGTGAGTGGGGCTGAGAGACTTCAAAGAAGTGTGACTAGCCCAAGGTCACCCAGCAGCTGCATGTGGAGGAGCGGGGAAGCGAACCCGGTTCCCCAGATTACGAGTCTATTGCTCTTAACCACTACACCACACTGGCTCTAAATGATATATTACAGAGAGTTGTTGGAAGAACTCCATCACCAAAACCCAGTGAGCTTTGTGCTTGCACACAGTTCTTGTCAGCGTGACAAACATTTTCCAGTCATGACTGCAGACTTGGGGGATTGTCACTGCACAGATGAGCATGGTGATGGGGGACATCTCTAATGCAGTAGCAGCGTTGGTGCCCATACTATATTAAGAATCATCATTTTATTTGTATGCCACCTTTCCCTAGGTAAAACCATGCTCAAGGTGGCTTACAACATGAAAAGATTTACATGACTTCACACATAACAAAAGTAGCTTAAACATGGAATAAAACACATCAAAAAGCACACAACCGAATTGAACAAATGCCACATAAATCATAATATCTAAAACAAAGATTTTAAAAAAAATTAATATCAATAACAGAAACAGAAACCCCTAAGCAAAACTCAGCCTCAGCTTTCATAGCTGGAGTCAGTCAGTCAGGCCACTGCCTTCCTCAGCCAGGCAAGGGGGCAGGGAGCCAGCAAGGCAAGGAGCAGGCCTTCCAGGACTCACAGCCAAGATGGCCTCTGGCCTCTATAGCAGCCTCAGCTTTTGTAGCTGGAGTCAGTCCAGGCCCCACCCTCCCAGGTCAGGTGGAAAAAGGCAAGCAAGGCAGGGATCATACTTTCAATATTGGGTTGTAAGTCTGTGTAAGGGATGTAGCTCTGTGGTACAGCATCCACTTTGCTTGCAAAAGATCCCAGGTTCAACTCCCAGCATCCCCAAGTAGAGCTGGGAATATCCCCCGTTTGAAACCCTAGAGAGCTGCTGCCAGTCAGTGTATACACTGAGCTAGATGGACCACTGGTCTGGCTCAACATAAGCCAACTTCCTATGTTCAGTAATGTATCCCGCTGGCCCTATTGTTTTAATGCACTTCTTGATATTGCCAGAACAGCAGCAGGTATACCCAGAGACTGCGGAGTTCAGTTTTAGTAGCCAACAGATCAAAGGAAGCAGAAATGCCATGGGATGGGATATCCAGCTTTGCAATGTCCGTCTTTCAAATTAAACCATATCCCATTATAGCTAAAGAAATGGAAAGCATAGGGCTGTGTGAGTCTCCTGCGCCAAATGCTCTCAAGAGCAGCAAGTGCCAACAATGACTAAGCAATTGCTAAAAAAGCGTGGCAGTGGAAAGAATTATGTTTTCTTCTCTGATGAATGTATTGGGGTGAATAAACAGCCTTTCAACAGGAACAGGGCTGGCAGAGCAACCTTTTTCGTAAAGCTGTCAGTTGAGGCCTGTTGTGTTTAAGAGGATCACAGAATTGTAGAGTTGGAAGCGACCCTGAGAATCATCTAGGCCAACCCCTTGCAATGCAGGAATATGCAGGTGTTCCATACGATGTTCGAACCTGCAACCTTGGCGTTATCAGCACCATACTCTAACTCACTGAGCTATCCAGGCAGAATACATACATACATAATTTTATCTATATGCCACCTTTCCATGATTAAAGCCAGGCATCCCCAAACTCGGCCCTTCAGCTGTTTTGAAACTACAATTCCCATCATCCCTGACCACTGGTCCTGATAGCTAGGGATGATGGGAGTTGTAGTCCCAAAACATCTGGACGGCCGAGTTTGGGGATGCCTGATTAAAACCATGCTCAAGGCAGCTACATGAAAAAACTACATAATTACAAACCTAGCAAAAGTAGTAATAAATAATAAGTAAAACATCAAAAAGTGCACAATCAAATTAAACAATGTCCACATAAATCATAATAAGAACTAAAAGAAAGATACAAAAAATTAGTATCAAAAATAGCAACAACCCCCTAACAAAAGACCCCTCAGTAATACTTCATCTCCACTCCTCAGTTTTGCTTCTGGTATTACATGTGCTTTCTTGTAATTGTTTTCAATGTAAGCTCCTTTGAACATTTGGAAAACTGGCATACCATTGTTTTGGTAAATAACTAAATGCACCATTGTTCATCTCTTTCAATATGCGCATATGAAGTGCTTACAAATTCCTTTCCCCCCACCATGATGCACATTAGCCTTCCACGCCCTGCTGTCTTAATGGTGTCTAAGATGCCCTTACGATTATCAGCTGACACTTTTAGAGAGACCATAAAAATAAAAGGGAAATCCATTTAACCATTGGTCTGAGCTTGCCTGTCGGTGCTTGAAAGCCTGAAGAAGAACATCAGTGTCAGCAACAGTGAGGGGGAAACAAAGGTGGGGCCCGTAGTAGGAGGCAGGGACCTCAATGGTCTGTTCATATTCTCTCATTGTATAATCACTGGTGGTGGGGAAAAAGTTAGAGCTGACGTCTATAAAGGAAGCAGAAAAGCAACTTACAAAATTTTAGTTAGTTGACAACAAATGTGCCTTTGGATAACGAGTTCATGAACATTTGTTTAAATTGATGATATATTCAGCATAATGCCGACATATATAACAGACACTAAAATCCAAAAAACCTTTTCGGCATTTGTAAGAACAAGGAAGAGCTTTGTCATGCTCAGTGTTGTTCTGACTGAGGGCCCAGTTTTGGCACTGAAACCTCCTTGGTTGCCCTTTCCTTTATCAGGAAAGTGACAGGAGCAGTGTTTTTTAAAAAATAAGATTTTTATTAAAGTTTTTCACAATACAGTACGAAGAAAGGTACAAAAAATACAAACAGATCCTGTAAAATATGGAGTCTTCTCCTAAAGGCAATTCTCAGTCCCCACCACCCACAGAAGGTAGCAGCCCTTCCAGCTCTCACCTTCCTTTCTCCTTCCAGCCTCTTGCCTTTGGAGACCAACATTTCCTTGTCTCCCACCCAGGGCTCTCCATCAAACATCTACCACCCACATGAGTACACAATCCCAAACATATGACTCCCAAAAAGAGGAGGCAGAGAAAGAGAGAGAGAAAGGAACAAGAAAGGAGAGACAAGAGAAAGAGTGAAAAGTAAAAAGATAAAAGGGGAAGAAACATTAGAGAAAAATAAAAGGACTTCTGATGTTCCATCTGCCAGTCACATCTTTTAAAAGAAAGATTATTTAAGACATTCAGTCCACGATCTTCTCCACTTTCTGTTAAACAATATTTATTTTAAGTCAAAGTGTCTCAGAGTCATTCATTTCTTTTCCCCACAAAAAGTCCAAGAGGGGATCCCGAACTATTATTATTATTGGTAAATGTCTGCCATGTTTCCCCCCCTTTAATATTAACTTTACCTCCATTAATTGCCGATTCTCCCTACTGAGTGTCAATTCTTCCATCTATGTCTATGTTAAAATCTCTTGACAGGAGAAATTTTAAATTGCTGCTGAAATCTTATTGTTTTGCGGTACAGATGTTTCGGCGATAAACCTCCCACCCACAACCACAGGGCTTCTGATTGTGATGAGGTCCAATTCGGGTTCAAGAAAACACAAGTCGATCTTCCTCTTCAGACCTTCTCTGCTCAAGAAGGGAAGGCTCATAACTGAGGAAGTGGGAGACACTCGGCTGGAGCCAGTGTGCTTGACTCCATGCCTCCTATTCATGGTAATATTTCCTACTCAGGGCTCTTTTGTCATCCACAGGACTAAAGAATAATGTTTCACCTATGCTTTGTGTATGATATGTGCAATTCCCACAGGGGAAAAGCTTCGACAAGTATGGCTTAAAAGAAAACTATCAACCAACCTTGGCATTTACTGGAGGACATGGCAGCTTGTGCAGGGAAAACCACTAATTACTTATAAAGGAACAAGGACTATGGCAAACAGACTGAGTCACAGCAGCCTACATTAAAGTCACAATTATAAAATATTGTCAGGAACAAATATTGCCCCAAGAGGCATTTTCTGCGTAAGAGCACGCTGTAGTTGAAATGTGCTAAGTGTGATAAGAATTTGGAGTGCTTCATAAAAGTAAACATTATTTCGAGTTATTTATTGGCTTCCTTGCTAACAACCCCAAACAAGAGCCACATTCCCTGGTTTCTCAGCATCAGTCATTGCAAATGTGCACTCCCTGCTATTTGAAAAATGGGATTGTTAGTCTTTTAAAAATATATATTATTTACTTTGAAAAATTGGCATTACAGAACACGAAAGCAAAACTTTCCCACATACCTTCACACATACAAACATATACATAATATATACATAACATTTACATATACCAATATATAAGAGGCATTCTAAAAGCCAATTTCATATATACCATGTAATTTAAACTCTTAATGGCAGCATATAATTTGATTCTTTTTCTGTTATGCCCAGTTCTTTTTCAATATATGTTTCTACTGGGACCAGTTTGGCCATTTCTTCTCTAATAATTTTATAGCGATACATCATCAGTTAATTCTTTGTCTCTGAAATGTTTCCTTCATAATTCCCACCACCATTTGCCAATACGACTGCTTTTAAAAAAAACAAAACCATGACATATGGTAAAAAATCACTTTTTACTTATGGATAAATCCAGGACTTACTTTCTTCTGGCTTACTGATCATTTTACTTTTCAATGAAGTCCAACACAATCTTAAAGCAAATTTATTTATGGATCATAGCTGTCGAGAAACTTGAACCCTTTTCAAACAGACATTGCCATGCCTCTCTTGGGATTTCTCTATTCATATGTTTATTCCATCTCAGCATATAGTTATAGACTATTTTCTTACATTTTAAAATATAAACTGTTTCAAATTCAGGACTCAGCTATACAGCTGCAAATAAAACGTTTTGAAAGTGTTGTAAAGTGCAATATACAATTGTGACACTAGATGGTAACTGAGCTATAGCAAATTCAATGCATTTTTCAAAACGATTTTTTAAAAAGCATTTCACAATGTATTTAACATGTGTGTAGATTCCACCTAAGTCTTATCTCTCTAAATCTCCTGGCTTCTGATCAGTCCATTTCATAAAGTCCCGATGTGCGGATACTGATATCTAGGTGGAGCCATCTTCACTTTAGTCTTTGCTTGTTCAACGGTCTGTATATTTTTCCAATCCTGGTATGTCTCTAGTCTGTTTTCTTTCCATTTAAAAAAAATCCTAATTGCCCCTTCAGACTAAACCATGAATCTTCCACTAGAGATGCCAATGGAAAAGTTTTAGATGGGGGGGCCACTAGGGGCGCATTGGAAGATGGCCGACAATACCATCTCTCCGACCCACACAGGGTAATTAAGAGGCTGTTATGGGAGTAGGCAGCCTCCCTTGTTGCCCCAAGGAAATGGGGAACACTGCCCTTGCCTGTTGTGCCCATAAATCACCCCCTAATTCAAAAGAAGGCAGAATGCCCCCGTGTGGACCTCGGCTCTCCTGGACGCTGTCTCTGATCGCGCACTAGCTGCAGCAATTTGGAATAATTAATTACAAAAGAAGCAAATGCACATATTTCAAGTGAAGAAGGGGAGTGAAGTCTGCTAATTTAAGTGACCTCTGCGAAAGAAGACGACGGGTTGGAGAAACAGGAATATTTTACGATGAAGATACACCAAAGGCTGGGTATGTTGACAACGGGACTGAATGGGGGGGGGAACCTTTTTTACTTTCCTTCTATGTGATTTACAAGAACCCCTCCTCATTAGAATCGTCGGTTGAACTGACCCAAGCAGGATGATTAAGGTCTGTGTGGAGATAAACTTTAACCAAAAGTATGCTTTATGGAGATCGAGAAGCAATAAGAGCTTTTGGGAATGGCGCAGCAATTAATTCGGAGTCGCCATCTTGCCAAAGGATTTATAGCCGGGAGGAAGAACGGACTTGTTTTCAGACTGCATTCCTGGTGAATCTCCTCAGAGGTTTTGAGAAAGGAGGCAGATTGGTGAAGATTAATGACGCTAAGACTGTTTTGATGTATGGAAGTGATGTTATATGGAAAACGTCTGGATATGGCTACTGGATAAAAAAAATAATATCCACGCAGGATTACAAACTGTTCTAACCAGCTTGTGGAGACTATCAGAGGTCACAAAGAGAAAGGAAAAATATATGAAAATAACAACAAGAGATGTGGAAAAACAATAAGAAAGGACTGGATAGTACTGTGAACATCATAAGGTTAGATTTGTGGACATTAAAACAGCAGCAAGAAGCAAGAAGTTGATTGGATCCCCTTCCGAACTTGAAATATGGGTACCCCCAACAAAAATTTAAAATTCGGCTGTGTAATTTGGAATTTATGTAATTTGGTTTGATTTGATGTGATTGGTCGGTTAATAAAAAAATATTCTTAAAAAAAAAAGAAAAAGTTTTAGATGGAGAGAAATAATTGTTTATATCAGGCGTAGTCAATCTTTTTATACCTACCGCCCACTAATGCATTTTTCTTGATGGGGAAATTTCCTTAATACCCACCAGTGCTGCAGTAATATGTGTCGTAGAAGCCCCTACGGCCCACCTGGAATCCTGAAATGCCCACTAGTGGGCAGTAGGGACCAGGTGGACTACCCCTGGTTTATATTGATCCCGGATTCCTGAGCAAACATTAATTGCATAGGACCCCCCTTCCTAAACTGTTTTCCTAGTCTTTCTACTTATCCATAACTAGTTCGAAATGCTTTTCTTTTCTTTTACATTGTATCCTGGTATTGTCCACGCCACTTCTGCTGCATCTGCACAGTCATATTGACCATTTGACTGCTATTGCATTTGCTACACAGATGCAGGTTTTTCTGATTTGAGAAACATACAGTTCCTCAACTAGCTACAGGTACATGTGCAAAGATAAGTAGTTCCACACATATATGCTCTTGGCTGCACTGGCGCGCGCGCACACACACACACACACCATTTTTTTTTACAAGATACGCACATGTAACTGCTCTGAAAACATATTCAGTCAATCCTTACCTGGATGAGTTTCATTGGCCTTAGTAAAATGGTCCAGCATGAATGTGAAAAACTTAGATAGCTGAATAAGAAAAGACATCAGTTAGTTTACAAGCAGAAATGATTATATTACTTTGTCTTCCCCTTATTTGAAATAAGCACGCTGGCTCCATCTACACAGTAACAACCCTGGCAAAATCTCAAGCCTCTTATATCTCCATTGACAGGGACAGTGACACAGTTGAGCAAAGCCGGCTCTAAATTTAAGGGTCTTACCAGGGGTGGGTGTGTATGTGTCTTTAGATGATAACGTGCATTACTTTGCTTGTGTCACAATTCAAAATTAGCATTATTTTTTTTTATTAAAAAAGGCCTGATATAAATGAAAATAATGTTTTGCAGTTTGTAGATGTGCCTGATACTAACCAGCTTCAAAAAATGAATGGCATGGTACTAATTATATTATATTATCTTCTTAAAACTTAAGCATCAACCGTGAGAGGGAATAAAAATTTACAAGCTACATTATCCGTGATGAATATAATCTGAAAAGCCGGCATGTTCTACCTCACTAACAGTTTGCGTCAAAGAAAAATCCACAGAGTACAAACCTGTAGCTGTGCTTGTTCTTCTGCATATTCAATTGACTGAAAGATACTCAGGGCATATCTCCGCCTCATCTCCAGCCGGGCCATGTAAGAGCGATACCACCTTTGAATCAGGACAGCTGCTTTAATGGCTGCCAAGACATGAAGGGGCCAGAAAGAGAAGATTAACTGTCCACAACTAGTTATTCAGATCTCTGGATCTTTGGTTCTAAAATGCTGTGTGTGAATCCTGCTCTAAAACGCAGAAGGCTAATCATGGCTCCCCTTTTAACCCTACCAGCACTCCTGCATTTAAAGTTTGAGATAATCTCATGGCAGAGACACCTTCTGCAGCCTGGTGCTCTCCATGTGTCCCAGCCAGGTCAGGAGAGTGCTGATGTGCCCATGCTCTGCTTACAAGCTTTCCAGTCACCCGGTTGGCCACCATGGGAACAGCATGATGGACCATACCACTCTTGGTTTAGGCAGGTTTCTTCTTACTTTCCTGAGAGTCCTCTTCTCTGAAGGGCTGTCTGGTCCAGTTTAAGGCAAAAGAAGGGAGAGCTGAAGTTGTTCATCAGCTGTTAGCATCTGGAGAGCAGATGGTCAGGCACACAGGGCCACCTGGGAAGTTTTTTTCTCACTGTGTGTTTCTTTTTCAATTGAAGTAATTATTTCTAAATTTGTATCCAGATGTCTAAATTAACGCATGCTCCTCCTCCCTTAATGCACCTGAGATGGGGCAATACTGGGAAGGTTTAGGAGGGGATACAAAGCTAGGATTGTCTTAGGAAGCATTGCTGTACAGCTCAAAAACATTGCCAGCTGTACAATAAATTCCAAAGCTTCTGAGGCCAAGAAGCCTATGAAAGTCACATGGGTCAATATCTTAAACACATTTTTCAAGCTCACACACACAAAATATCATTCGATATAAACAAATGTACGGTAGGTTAAAGTCTCAGGTGATGCACAGCAGCTCAAAATCTGTTTCAATGTGTGCCCCGGAGTACCAGTTTTGCTAAATCCCAAGTATTTGGGTCATAGCAACTTGCATGAAACAATGGGAAGGGCATTATGAGGTCATAAAGCAAATAGTGCTTGCATTATTATTTACTAATGCAAGTTTTTTACAATAGAAAAATGAATGTTATTATACAGTAGGCACACAGTTGTAAAATACTATTTTATGCAGAAACTTCTGAGTACAATTTGTCAAAAAAATTGTTGTAGATAATTATTTTTGGGTTTTTCAAAATTTAAAACATTTGTTTACCTATAAAATAAGCATTGATAGTATTTTAATAGCACCACCATATTAGTGCCTAAGAACTGCACATCAGTTAGACTCAGCTCCAGGCAAACTGTGTGCAAGTGATTGCTATATGGTCCAAAATAAGGTACTGAGAGATTCATAGATCATATGATATTAAACAAGTAGTAGCCTGCCTTTACGATGCGAGTCCTGGCACAGGAACATCACACTGATCACAGCTCCTGATTTGATTATTGCAATTCTCACTCAGGTAGAAGTGTTGCTTTGTTATTAAGACAATTAATTGAAACTCTAGAGACTTAGAATCAATGACATCAGTCAAGGCTATTCCCGAAAGGAACAGTCAATATTTCCAGAATCTATTTGCTATGGCAGAAGAAGCAAATAGATGTTGCAGAAGAGATACAGGAAAGTGTATGAGAGAGATGGCATTGCTGAACTGAAACAGGACTGATATAGATGACTGATGTTGACTTGACGTAAACCATGATAAGTTGCGAGTGTGGTTCCAATCCATCTGATGGCTGAGAAACGGAATTGAAATCTGTGTTTGTCACTTCAGGCCTAGCTGAGTCTAAGACAGGCCCTGAAATCCAATTCTATGCATCACTTTGTCTTCCTTCCACAAAGACTTGCTTTTGTGTTCTACACAAGGTACAAATATCTGTCTCCTGGTGAGATTTTAAGCAACGGTATCCAGAGGGGGAATCTGTTTTGATGGGGGAAACCAAAACAATAGATGCTGATGGCAGACTAGAATAAAACCTATGAGTAATGGCATGGAGTTCTCAGCCAAGGTCAATTTCACAGTGGAGAATTTTCCTTTCCTTTTTATTTCTCATCCCGAATTCAACCCAGACTTTCTCAAACATAAATGATAAATTGAAAGATACACCAACCTTTTCTCAATGACTATTGATGATGGGACATTATAGGTAGTGGCTGTTTAAAACAAACAAAACCACGAGCTTTTGTTTTGCTGCCCTTGCATGTGGTGGCAGTTTTCCTAGGTTCCATCCCCACCCCCAACAATAGCTCATTGGAAATGATGCTTCTAAAAGGCACTCTATCATTTTTGCACCCTGAAATTGGTAAGTGGTTGCTTTTCTTTTCCTCTTTTCGTGAACCCCTGTTGAGTCTAATTTAGAGGGAGATAATTGCCCCAAAGATATTCAGATCCTGGCTAGTAGTCAGATGCCCAAACAACTTGTTGGGTATTCCTGAATGCCCTTACAGTAATTGCAAGAATTCCAGGCTTTATATGCATTGGACTGGCAGTTGAGAAGGAGTTCTAGGAGAATGAGTTCCATACACTAAGAAAAGCATTGAAAATATAAAACTACAGTTTGCTGGTCTCTTAAACCTTCAAGTCTTCTCAAACCTCCCCTGCATGTCACAACAGAGCCCATTTTAACACTGGAAACGTACCATGTGAAGTTTCTCTTAATCAAACCTTTCTTGTCAAGATAGTAAGAAACACCCTGGCCAAACATTTGGGAGAGCACTAAGAGATGTTGATATACATTGTGCCCTTTTGCACCAAGACTCTCAAAATAGGCACCAAGGTTTGATGCTTTAAAGCAGCCTGGTCCCATATGGTTTTGACTAAACTCTCATCAGTTCCAGCAAGTAGATATATGCTGGCAGAGGTTGAAAGGAATTGCAGTTAAAACCATATGGAGGGGAATCAGGTAGGGAGAGGTTCTTTAAACAGAGAACTGATGGCTATATTATCTCAACACCTTGAGTCTTCTTCATAGTGTGTCCTCTAGCCTACCAGTCCAGCAGAACCACCTGGGATGGTCCAATCTACAATCAGTATCTTCAAAATTAATGCAGACAATAAGTTTGTTTAAGTATCACATCAGAGAATGGAAAGACCACACACAGGTTATTTACCTCTTTCTGATTTGTTCACCCGCCTCGTCGTAATAGAAGTGCCACATCCCATGACTTCAGTTGAGACTGGGGTGCTGATTTAATATTTCCTCATGGGCGATGGTTTTCTTCAAGCCATCGGTGTTGCCAACCATACCATCTTTATATTCATCTCAATATGCAACAGTAAACGACAATTCCCGGAGAAAACTACGCCTGCCATCGGCCCTAATAACAGAGAAGACTGCATGACAAAAATAGATACCATATTGTTAGCCACTAAAGTGCTGAGCAGCAGAAATAATTAACCAGGTTATCTATGCACCGGTGAAGGCAGTGCAGAGATTTGCCAGTAAACACTAAGCACACCATTCCAGCTTTTGGTACTGTTGGCCAAGCACTCCTGACTGGGGATCCTGCATTATGGGGTGGGGCAGTAAGGAAGGAGATCCAAAGGGGCCTAATCCAGCATAAGCAGCCACATTATAGTGGAAAACATTGGGCACAATTGTAAATCACACTTGAGGATATTTGTGGAAACCTCTATCATTGTATCAATGTACCCATCTTGTGAGATTTGATGGAGCCAATCAGAAGCCATGTTAGAAGAGAACACTCAACATTCTGAACAGTGAGCTGCTGGCCTGGGTGCTTCTCTAGAACAAAGGGAGTGGGCTTGTGCAGTTACACCTGGACTTGTAGAAACAGAGAGACTGGTGCTTCCCCAATGTGTTACATGCCACGTCAAGAACTACCAGACCCAGAGTTGCTGAAGCATAGGCAGAAAGGCGAGAGGCATCTGCGGGGAAACCTAAAGCACCATAATACATCAGGAACATTGATCTTGGGGACAGGGTGATAAAGTGCTGCTGATTTACATGTAAGTAAATGTTGAGCACAAACACACATATCATACTGCCATGCCCAGCTATAAATCATGTAGCCAGAAACATAAGGATGTTAAACAAAGGGAATGAAAAGAAGCAAAAGGATGCCAATTAAACCTTTGTTTGTTTGTTTGTTTGTTTTTCAAAATGCACAAAGCCTTTCTGCAGTCTGGCTCAGGCACTACAATTACTAGGCAAGCAGACGGCCAAAAGCAAGATGAAAATGATTTCAAGATAGGGACGGTGTCTGTGGCAACAGACGGAGGGGGGGGGGAAGCTTCTAGATGTATTATGCAAGTCTATTCTAACGCTTTTAAGTAATACAACCATCAGCACTGCAACACTAAGAAGGAGAAGGAAGGAAGAGAGAGAGAGAAAGAGAGTGAGAGAGAAGTCCAATTTAGGCCTTCAATGTGGGTGCATTTAAAGTGGGGACATTAGGGGCATGTACTCAAAGTCTACACAAAGATCTGAAGTGTGTGTTAGGTGGAGGTATTTAGAATCATTACCACAATTGGGAACCCTGAAAATGCAGGGAGCAATCTGAAGCAGAAGAGATCAGCTGACAATCAAAGCATGCAGGGAAGAACAAACAGAAGATGGTGGCTCCTAGCTTCAGTATTTGTCTCTCATTGGCATACAAATGTATTCTCTCTCTAAATATATAGGTACTTATTTAATTGTCATGGTTGATAAGAAGGGCTTTCATAGGCGAATCTGAGACAAAACAGGAGGTAGGAGCTAAGCTAAGGTGTTGTCTCACCAGGTGGGGCAGTGACAAGCCCGCTCCTTGGTCTAGAACTAAGTCCATATTTCTCAAAAGACATTTTTCTGGCCAAGAGTACTTCCTTTTTCTCACCTCATCTAGAAAAGGGTCATTTTTTTCTGGTCACACACACACACACACACACACACACACACACACATATCCAGGGATTGATCACAACACATCTGGCACTTGGAAGATGCAAAATGGTAGTCAGGTTGCCAACACAGGTATTACTGCTGCCACTTGCAGTGGTGGTGGGGAAAACAACTTTAGGGCAAAAGAAAGACGCTGACCTACTAACACTGCTAATTAGTTAACCTTACTATTGGAGAATTTCTCTTTTCCCTGGGAAAAGTTAGTCCCCTCCCACCATTTCTCTTTCCACAAATAGGGTGGGGAAATCTGAAAGACATTTGTGCCCAGCCCTCGTTTGTACTTACAAACTGCCTTGTCTTGAACCTATTTTGAATGTTATATTCATTCCTTGAATATTACTGAAGAGACAGCAACAGAGCATGTGCAGTTTCTCACCTACTGGTCACTACAGGATTCAGTACATAGAATTGTGGAGTTGGAAGGTACAAGGGTCATCTAGTCCAACCCCCTACAATACGGGAAAATTTGCCCAACATGGGGCTCAAACCCACGACTCTGAGATTCAGAGTCTCGTGCCTTACCAACTGAGCTATCCTAGGTAGCTAGAAGAAAATTTTAAAGCAAAGGAAGTCTGATTTCCAGGCAAGCTTGATTCCCAACTTTACTCATTTTGGACATGAAAAATATTCAGTGCTAAAGTTGTGTGTGTGTGTGTGTGTGTGTGTGTGTGTGTGTGTGTGTGTGTGTGTGTAATGTAACAAAGGGAAGTGTAATAGGAAAACAAATGAAACACAAAGCTGGTAGCTTTAGTGTCATGTTTAGGAAGTTATACTCAAGGCTGGGAATGGGGAAGAGATTCAGTTTGGTTCACAATTTAAAGGAAACTTTCTTAACTTGTACTTCCCGAAACAATATGCAAACAAATACAGCTATATTTCAAAATGTGCAGTTCCCCCAATGTTGTGTTGCAGTTTTCAAACCAGAACAAGTGTACAAAAAGTGTATTAGTGAAAATGGCACACAAAATGTGCTACATTAGGAAACTTTGCTTGCAAAAATATGCATAATGGGAGGTGTACACAATAAAATGCTGATGAATTTCTACGAGGATTTTAAAATAAATAAATAAATAAATAAATCACAAACTGATGCAGCAATGTGGTGAGCTGAACTTAAAAAACAAGAAACTGAAATAAGATTTACCCATCCTTACTCAAGACCAAGTCTATGCTGAAACTGAAGAATTAAAAAGATGCCTCTGGTTTTTAGGGGATGACTAAAAAGTAAGTAATTTCCTAAGGGGCTATGATTTTCCCACTCTACCCTGATAGAAAATGAAGAAGGAGAAAAATAATTCCATGTTTGCAGAAGGGTTGTTAGAAAATAAATAAATTGTGCAGACGGAAATCAGTTGATATGCATTACATGAAAGAACTATGCATTGTTTAGGAAATATGTGAATACCCCATATCTGGATCCAAGACTACATTTAACACAATTCTGGAGACTGGAGTGCTGGGATTTCAAATTCTTTTTAAGGGAAATTGTAGTTTTATTTTGCAACACCAACACTCTGTGAGAAGGGTGATCAGATGTAGCAGATAAGAGGGATCATGTATCTTTAACAGGTGTACAGAAGAGGAAATTCAAAGGAGTGTAGCATCCCACAGCACCTTGGTGTGGTGTCACGACAAATTTTACCTGCCACAACTCCTTCTTCTGCAGAGTTTTTAAATGTGCAGGAGTTCTGTCCTCTAGCCACCCAATATCTCTGGACATGAGCAGGCAGAAAGAATGTGTGGGCAGCTAAATATTTATTCTACCCCCACCTAAAATGGAGTTTACAAAACCCTAACAAACTAAAGGCAATCAATATGTGACTCTGGAGTCTGTGATCTTAGAAAAGGCTAAAAAGAAATAAAATCAAGGCCCAAACTATGGATCATAAATGATTGTATTTAGAAATAAATTTTATTTAGATGTAACTAAATTTTATTTAGATGGGCTTAATTGCAAAGAAGCGTGTCGGCAGTGGCAATCTGTGTTACATCATGCACTGCTTCTCTCCACCAACATTGATTTAAAAATAAAATCAAATGGTTAAAATATATCTACCAAAACAAAGGTAAACAAAGAAATTACCTTATGTCTTCCATTGCATCAGCAAAGAGGTTTACTAGGTGTTGTAAACAAGCTTTCTTCCTGGGCAGAGGGTACAGGACGCGATATAAAATCAATTGTCATTCCAGCTTCCTTCTCATTTGTGCTCCTCTTACATTTATGCAGATAGAAGATTTATCAAGGAACAGCTCCTTTCTCCTTCTAGCCAGAAATAAGAGCTGTGTTCTGCAGCTACGAACAGCAGTGCAGGCACAATGATGTATTGGAGAAACCTATGTTGTTACCAGGCTCTCTGAATCTCAGGCAGACAAGTGGATGGCTAAAGTTATCTGCTTCATACTGGAAACTGCTTCTCAGCAACAGCCATTATAGTAATAATGAACCACAAACTAGCATTATGGCATAAGATAAAGTGTTTGGTGAAGCATGGGAAGAGGCACTAGAATTATAAAAAAAAGGGGGGGGACAGAGACAATGCAGGTCATACTCCAAGTTAATAAAATTTTCAGAGACCATTTAATACTCAGTACCCGGGCAGCCTGGCCATTTCCACAGCATCTTCTCAATGAGCTTGTGAGGACCATTAGAAGGGAAAATACAATGAGGGAAGAAAAAGAACTTTGCAAGTTTCTCACTCTGTAACACAATACCACATCAGTTTCCAAAAGCAACAGAATGATATATATCATCAACACAATTTTTTAAAGTCCATATGGCTTAAAGGGCCAGTTCTATTTGAATCAACAGTGAATGCAACTTAGGAAGTTTCCCTGAGTCAAAAATCTATTACTTGACTGTTTGGACTAATCTATACATGTCAGTCTACCTTTGTGGTAGATAATGAGAACAAGAAAAAGGTGAAGACTTGCGCTACATCTCAGGTTGCCTACAAAGGGGATCATGATAACATGCAACCTGAGGAAACAGCAGTGAATTTAGTTTCCTCTCTCTCCGTTTCCAGAGTGGTAGTAATGCCAGTCTGATACAGCAACAGGCCTTAGCTGACATCAAACATACCGTACCTACTTTATGAGATGGAGCAGGCAGCCCACACCAACGAATCATATGTATATTCCTAACGTACCTATGCTTTTAACACAGTGAGTGCAAAATATACAGACTGGTAATAGATGCCAGTAATTGGGAACAAAATGTACATTGAAACAAGAAAAAGCTAATGCTTATTCAGCTTTAGACATATGTTTTCTACACATTGGCCAAATGAATGCACATTACAGATTCTAAAACATTAACTTTTATTAAATGGAGTACCACTCACGCACATCATACAAAGTTCTGCCTTGTGGTCCAAGAGTCAGTTGACCCAATATGGTAACCGGACAAAGCAAGTTACATTGGGCTTAACACACCTGTTAGCAAAAGCTTTGTGCCATTAACATCTGCATGGCAGACAGAGGTCCACCACCACCAGCTTGGTGATGTAGTGATGGAAGTAGGCATAGTACTGGTGTCTACTCATCCTGCAGCTGTTAAACAGAGAATCCCTGCTTATTAAAAAGATTATCAGTGCTGTTTGGGATGTGAAATATTGCTGCAGATCATGAGCATGTTTCTCCTTGAGTAGAAATGGTTTCTACATCATTTGAACAAATTCAAAACCTTTTATACTATTTGCTAAACCTGAAATTCATAAGCTACATTGCAGCATTCTTCTTTCAGGGTCATCAGTTTAGTAAGTGCAGAAAGTGCTTTTTAAAAGCAATGACAGGATAGGAGAGAATAAACAACAACAACAAAAAAGAGTAATACTATGTTTGTACAGCTATTCTTTTTATCTCTCCTGAAGAATTTCATGATTCATGATAATGTTTTGTTTTTGTTTTTTAAAAAAACAATTCGCTCCCTGAGGACTGAACAGCAGCAGTCTTCAAGAAAAAAGAAAGAAAAGAAAGAAAGAAGATCATTTTGATGGGCAGCAATTTGGAAGCTTCTTGTCATCAAGACAGCATGAAAAATGAACCAGGCAAACGCAAAAGGGGGACTGGCAAACTGTAGCAGCTGTCAGATACCAACCATAAAGGACAAGGCTTAGAACTGAGCAATTTGTAAGCTGTTGAAGGAATATAAGAAGCTTCCTTGTACTGAGTTAGACCGCTGGTCCATCAGGGTTCTCTATGCTGATGGGCAGTGGCTTCCCAATATATCAAGCACGTATAGTATGTTTCCCAATCCCAGGGATTGAACCTACGATCTTCTGCATGCAAAGCAGATGCTCTACCACTGAGCCGTGCCGCTGCCATTACTCCCAATATGGCTGCAATTATGGCAGGCCTCCGTTATTCCTGCTGCCTCTGAGCCCTGGAAAGTCAGTTTGTTTTTAATTCTTCATGCATGCACAAACATAACCGGCTCCACTACCCCACACCTTTAGTTGACAGACAGCAGTCATATATATACACACACAGGACAGTGCAGGAAGAGTCTCATATACCTCAAAAATCTCCACCTTATTTAGAGAAAGGTGAGCACGCTCTCCACTCTCAACGAGGATTGACAGCCCTCTGCTGACAGAACACCATAATCTACTTCGAAGGTAAACTGGAGCAGAAGAGTATCTCAACAGATCTCATCCTTCGGGGTATTGCGTTTTATGTTGTTGCATTCCAACAGTATCTGCTATTCAGCATTTATTGCTCCTGAGGATTTTATAGCACTTTTATCCACAAATGTGGATAGCATGGAGATGATTGTTAAATCATTGTAACTAATGCTTCTCATTTCAGTTCCTTAGCTTGACTAAAGTTATTGTTATTGGTTAACAGTAGGAAGAGTTGTTGTTTAGTCGTTTAGTCGTGTCCGACTCTTTGTGACCCCATGGACCAAAGCACGCCAGGCACTCCTGTCTTCCACTGCCTCCCGCAGTTTGGTCAAACTCATGCTGGTAGCTTCGAGAACACTGTCCAACCATCTCGTCCTCTGTCATCCCCTTCTCCTTGTGCCCTCCATCTTTCCCAACATCAGGGTCTTTTCCAGGGAGTCTTCTCTTCTCATGAGGTGGCCAAAGTATTGGAGCCTCAGCTTCACGATCTGTCCTTCCAGTGAACACTCAGGGCTTATTTCCTTAAGAATGGATAGGTTTGATCTTCTTGCAGTCCATGGGAAGATCAGTCCAGTAGGAAGAGCAATTAGACAGAAATCTAGTCTGAATACTGTAGGGTCTGTTGGGGTACATTTCCCATTCTCCTTTATATTTTATTCCAGATCAGAATTATATTTTAATTTTAATTTTTTTTTGCAAATTTATCATAACTTTAGTACATATATTGTATGCAAGTTATATGGTAGCACTGGGTTCAATGTTATAAAGTTCTAGGGGGGTTAAGAGTGACAGACCCCCAATTCATATTATGTTTGTTTCATTCTAGTCAAGTAGTTTTAAACAGATGTGGCAGAGGTATTATAAATATACGTACACCTACATCTCTCTTCTTCCTCAGTGGGCCTTTACGTGAATGTATAACTGGTAATAAAAGCATGTGGCATTTCAGGAGTGGGCAACCTAAACTGCACCTGCATCCCAGGTTTTTCTATATGGGTCAAACAGAAAGATTATTCCTTCTGTGAAGCAGCTGAGCTGATACTCTCCATTCCACTAGATCAGAGCTTTCCAAACTATGTGTTGTGACACGTTAAGTGTGTCACGTGAACGCTCCCCACGCCCCTCCCAGGGCTGGAAATGTTACAAACTTCCAGTAAACCGAATTACTGTGTCACGAAATGATGCATGTCTAAAAAGTGTGTCAACAGCATGAAAAGCTCTGCACTAGATGGCAAAGCCCCTTCAGAGTCAGTAGGGCAGCCCCACTTCCTAATGGTTAGTAGCTTATAAAAGATTCAGGATCCTTTCTTGCACCTTTAAGAGCTGAAAGCTAGTGCAGAATTCAACAGGTGCCAATACCTCAAGAACCTCTTCTCATATGAATTGACCTGGACCCTGAAATCACCTTCTGAGGCTTCTTCATGCGCCCACTCCACAAGACATATGGAGGGTGGCAACACAAGAATTGCCTTTTCTGCAGTGGCTCCATTTGTGGAACGCTTTCCCCAGGGACGCTTGTCTGGTGTCTTCATTAAATTTCTTTAGGCGCCAGGTGAAAAACATTCCTTTTCAACCAAGCCTTTGGCTAATTAAACATTCTATGCTATGTTAAAGGTGTTATGGGGGCAGTTAATGGTTTTGTATCGTATTTTGTGTTCTCATTTTGTATTTTTATGTAGAGACCCACCCTCTGATCTTCAATTAAGGACAGTATATTTATTTATTTTATAATAGTAATAGTAATGATAGTAATGATAATAATAATAATAATAATAATAATAATAATAATATATTCTTTCTAAAGCTGAAGCGAAGGACTCTCTTTTATCACCAGTTTTAAAATGAGTTTATGCCACTCCTTTCTACAAAAGTTCCAAAATCAGCACAGTGCAGAAAAAGACAAATAATACAACCTAATAACAATACTGGCTAGCAAATAAATCCAAGAGCAGTTCAAGAGAGAAGCTTATATAGATTGCATTGCATTGATACACACCCTTGGCCCGTTTCTTCTTTTTCCAAATTGTGAAATGCAAGCAGTGGCTAATTTGCTAAATGACTCCAAAAACCATACTTGCGTTGGACAGGCTGCAATGAGGAAGGAAAGTGCAATTAGTTTTGTTTTTGACTCAAACCAAACATAATGAAGGCTGCAGCCCATATCGTTTACCTGGGAGTAAGCCCCATTAATGTCCAGGGGACTTACTTCCGAGTAGACCCGGTTAGCCTTGCTCTGCTAAATAACATTGCTATTCGGATACCAATACCGGTCGACCTGCACGCCCGTCCGTGACTTTTTAAATTTTTTTAATCTATCCCCAATAATCACGGGAATCATCCCTGGGACCGTGAGCAACAATCGTAATTCTTTCCTTGATTTATTTTGGCAGCGGCGTAAGGAAAGGAAACAAACATTTCATACGTGGAAGCAACTTAAGGCAAACCCTGTTTCTCCCCCCTTCTCTGCATTGCCGCGGAAACGCAGCCCCGCCTCTTCCTCCTGGCGCGTCTCCTCTTGCACTGGGCGAAGCCAATGACAGAGCAGGAAACGGCCGACACCACGAAGAAGGAGATTGGCGGAAAAGGGAACCGTCGTGAGGGTTCCATAGTGTAGTGGTTATCACGTCTGCTTTACACGCAGAAGGTCCTGGGTTCGAGCCCCAGTGGAACCACTAAGTTGTTTTTTCTTTCTCTCCCGCGCCTCCTTCTTCGTCCTAACCCCGGGAGTTGCAGAAATCTCACCTCATTCCTCCAATCCCCTCTGGGTAAACTAATGGCAAAGGAAGGGGGGGAGGGGAGAGAGAAGGATACCCAATGCACAAAGTCGCCGCTTTATGATGGCTGAGTTCCGGACACTTTTGCTGCCTGTTAATTATTTGCATTCCAAAAAGGTGAATGGGTTGCTCAGCTGAGCGAAGCTCCGGGAGCCTCCGTCCCGCCCTCTCCTTAATCTGAAACTCCCCGGGAGAATGCACCCAGGCGTGGGCTGCGCTTATTAAGAGTGGCGCGGGGAGGGCCCTCTGCACGCGCTCAGGGGCACCCTTGATCAACACTACTTCTTCAGCCACGGCAGCTGACGTTCAACAAAGGCTGGTTAGGGGGCCCAAACGCTCAATCGCAGGAAAATTCTTCCTTACGCCGCCAGAAACCAAAAGGAGAGGCCGCGTTTATCATTGCCCCGGCAGCCTCCCACCCGTCCCAGGTGCCGTCGAAAGGGAGAGAACTAAGAGAGTGCGTGGGCGGGAAGAGAAGCAGCTTCTGCACTGGACGGCGACGCCCCTCGATCGCCCTCCCCCGCGGCAGGATTCCGCCCTCGGGTGGACACGCAATTGTAACGTGTGGAAACGCAAACACGCTTCATGCTGCTACTCTCTTTCCTCCTGGTTTCCTAATCCCACTGGCTGCCATCCATGTAGGCTGCACGCGCACTGCGCCCACATTACACCCATGCAAAGTGGGGTTCGGAGAATAAAGAGAGGCTGATGAGTTGGCTTGCAGGCAAAAGCTGGCGCACGCCGCGATCCCGGGCCGCGTGTTCCTCTGGGTTGCCAAGGGAATCGCACCCCGAAAAGGAACTAGCGGGAGGCGGCCGAAAGCAATGTAGTTCTGCTCGCGCCTGCCATCATTGCATGGCTGCTGCTGCTGCCGCCCACGCTTCGGCTCTGTGCGGCAGAAATGCAGAGCAGCCTCGACTAGGATGCGGGGGAGGCGAGGAAGCTCGCAGGAGGCGCGTCCCACGCGGATGCGACAGAGAGAGGCTGCTCTGGGTGTTCCCTGTTTCATAAGATCACGTATTCCTGGGAAGAAGAGGGAGGAAGCGGGGGGGGACGACGGGGGACGGACAGGTTGATTGAAAACTATACTGCTGCGCCAGGCTCTGCATTTTAAGATCAGCGAGGCTGCAGCCCCAAACACGGTTTTATAAAGGGAGCAAGGCCTATATGGTACATGATTTTGAGGAAACGCACAACACGCGTTCGCTCAGCGTCCCTTCACATGACATCACGCCCTTTGCTCTCTGGCTTTTTTTTAGATTTGTATTTTTCTCACTGTATTGTTGGCTTCAAGTGTTCTTCTTGAAAGAACAGCACTGCTAGAACTGAAGGTGGCAAGACTGCGTTTTTTTCTCTGGTTCTTTAGGGGTTCTTTGTGAATGGGCCTGAAGGATGAAATTTTCCTAAATCAGGTTAGCTCAGAGTCGTGTGCCTGATTTTACATTTACGCAAGGCACCAGTGCGCGAAATGCAGTTGTGATCTGTTTTCACGACGATACAGAGGTTTAAAAATAGATTGGAGAAAGGAGGCTGGATTGCAGGGAGGGTCAAGCTGTGTGGCATGGATGAAGGGATCGTTTTTCATCTGGGACTGTTTTGTGACAAAATGGCACATTGTGGTCATATGTGATCATACTATACTGTATATGCTGAAAAGAACGACAGGCAAGTCTACACAGTTGCTACTGAATTAAGAGCCGTACTGAAGTAAGACAGGTATCTCTGCCTTTGGAATGAAGAACAATTATACAAGGATCACAACCAAAATGCAAAATAATCTTTAATCAAAATTATTATTTTTAAAAAAATAATAATTCAGACAATCCTACCCATGGCTGATCTGTTTTTGTAGATACGAGTCTTGGCAAACTTAAGCAAAGTGGAAATGTATGTACTTATTACTGTGTATATAAATTGA